ACATCACTACTGGGAAAATCATAGCTTTTACTATACGGACCTTACATGCACATATGAACTGCTTCTGTGGCCCTGGTCCTCATTTGGCTTATGAACATCCTGTGAGAAAGATTATGACCTATGTGTAAGGGTGGATCACTTAGTGTTCAGCTGAGCCCAGTTGACATGATGAGCTCAATGGAGGGCCAGCCCAATACATTTGGCTGTCTGAGGTGGATAGGAAATGACACACATATACCAAGTGCACACATCCAACACATACCAATTCTCTTCCAAGATGGAAGAGAAATTCGCTTCAGTTTGCATTTAAGTACAAACTTACCTAATTCACACTTTTCCAAACGATACAAGAACCGAAACCCAGTTATGCTTTCAAATTCACACATCTCAGAATTTTGCAGTGCAGTTCTCCAGCCTAATGACGAGTACAGAAATGCATATGAAGCAAATATTAAGGGAAATTGCCCTGCAAAAATGTGTATATTAGGCAAAATTGCATGCAAAAGTGTATGTTAGAAGAAATTCAGATGAAAATGCTGGTGAATTTTCACAGGAAGTTAATTTTTCAAACTTTGCAGACTGATGTGGAAACATGAAAAAGTGAATTTAATACTGGAAAAATTAGAAATGGAAATGGACAGAATTGCTCATCCCTTGTGCACTGAACCAGTCTCGAGGTAGAAAACCCCACATGTGCTTCCCCTTCCTGCCAATACTAATGGATATTTATATTCGAATTATTTCCAAATATTTATATTTAGGGAAACACCAAGCCATGTACAAAATTTGCAAAGCACACAATATAAATCTTAGTAAGGCAACATAAAGCACAATATAAAAAAACCTGCTTAGCCCCATACACACACACACAGAGAGAGAGAGAGAGAGAGAGAGAGAGAGATTGAGAAATGGCTCTGGGAAGTCTGTGTAAACAAATGAGCTTTCAACATTTGCCAAAGACTAAAAATCATTGGTGCGTGTTGAATATTCCACCTAGAGGGGTGCCACCACACTAAATGTCCTGCTTTGAACAACCACAGAGTGGAACTCAGTTGCATATGGCATAGTTTCAGATAATTTCCAGAAATGGGCAAGTCTAGTGATTGGGGAATGTGCCAGCTGGAAATGTTGGAAGCTATAGCTAAATGGGGGAGGCACCAAGTAAAGGATGCTCAAGGGCTATTTGTTGTTTTATGTAACTGGGAGTGGACTGGGGCCTCATGGACTTGAGCCATTTCCCATTCTCACTGAAGAACCTCTAGGAAAAACAGTTGCATTTACAGCGAGGATCATTTCCCATTCCACCATCCCTTTCATCAACATTGACGTTACCCCATGTTGGAAAAAATACAGAATTTTAATGTTTGTCTGATGGCGCTGGGATTGTTGTTTTTTTCCAGGTATGTATCTTCCTGTAGACATGTGAAGGGGCCTAACACATTGTCAATATTCACATTAATTACATAGAATTTAGTGCATCAGCAAAAATGTAGTTGGAATTTAAGAACAGTCCATCTGTCAATCTAGTCTAATGAACTTTATTGATTATTACTAATATCATTTATTGGATTTCTTACCCGCCCTTTACCATAAGGTCCAAGGGACAACTTACACCAATATAAATATTCAATATAAATATCTGTTGTTGTTTTTACAGTAAATGATAGAATGGATCCTATATTTCAGGTATCAAAGGCCAAGGTGAAGAGGCTCCATTTTGTCTATTGGGCAGTCTTGCACATCTCCCATTAATTTCTGTGTGACTGGATTGGAAGAATTTAAGAACAAGGGAAGCTGTCTTATTCCAGGTCAGAGCATTGGTCTATCTAGCCCACTGGTGTCTACCATGAATGGCAGCAGCTTTCCAGGGTCTTAGACAGCTAGAGGTCCTTCCTGTCATCTGTTCCTACAGTGGTAATCCATCTTTTTCAGCTCAAGGGCCATATTCCCTTTAAGACAACCTTCCAAAGACAAGGGCTGGGCCAGAGGCTAAAGAGGGAGAGCAATTAATGTACATTTTACCTGTGGGGCAACATAACTTACCTAGACTGGAATGTTTTTGGCATTAATCCAGTACCTGCAGAGAACCTGGTTTTGCTTATCTATTTCCTCTCCCTCCTAGTACATGCTAAGGATAGGCAGATCTCTAGGCTTCTAGTAAGAGGGAGCCCAAGTTTAAAATTAAGGGATTTCCTCTTATGCTCACCACAAAGATACGTTTTAGTACAGTGGTACCTCGGGTTACAGACACTTCAGGTTACAGACTCCGCTAACCCAGAAATAGTACCTTGGGTTAAGAACTTTGCTTCAGGATGAGAACAGAAATCGTGCTCCAGCGGCGCAGCAGCAGTGGGAGGCCCCATTAGCTAAAGTGGTACCTCAAGTTAAGAATAGTTTCAGGTTAAGAACGGACCTCCAGAACGAATTAAGTTCTTAACCTGAGGTAGCACTGTACTAGGAACCAGGTCGCACTCCTTTCACACATAAAAATCCAGTCCTGGTTTCCCCTCCCCACAGCTAAGCTTTCATTTCAGCAGTTTAATTTAGTGGGGGAGATTTAGTCTTTGCTGTTGCTACAACTGCTATCCTGTTGGGAATCAGCATGTCTTGCTAATCTTCTGCAAATAACCCCGAGAATATACCTTCTGCCCTTCCTGTGTTAAGGCACCAAAAACGAGCACAGGAAGCTTTCAGCTAGACATACCCTAAAGGCAGTCAAAATGGAATGAATGGGTTTTTGGTGCTGTTGGTTTTCTTTTGTTTTTTGCACAACGGGGCAGAGAAGAGGCAACTGCATACAATAGCTTGGCTTCTTCCTCCTCATCCCCATCCTTCTTATTCAGGAAGCTTAAGGTCCATAGTCTCAGCTGGCAGTATAAGTTGAAATCAGGTTTTTTAGGGCCCTTGCCAAGTCATCCTCTATGGACCCCCACCCATCCAGGCTCAGGGAGCCTACAGCCTCACTGCAGCCAGTCCAGGGGACTTGTTAGTGGCCCCTGCTGGGTTGAAGGCAGTTGCCCAGCCATGCTGACCCTTGAGACCAGCTGTTCATCATAGAATTGTAGAGTTGGAAAGAATCCTGAGGGTCATCTAGTCCAACTCCCTGCAATGTAGGATTATCAACTAAACTAAAGCATCCATAATAAGAAGCTTTTCTTGACATGTCAAACTCAGCATTGGTTCAGAGAGGAAGCTCACTGGAATTCTGTCCTCATTGGGGCTGGCTGGGTTCTTGCCGACTGGGGTGGCGATATATGTGACCTGTTGGGTCTTGTAAAAAACCACAGAGAGTTGCCTCATCTCATAGATAGAATTCCACAGGAACAGAGCAGAACACTTAACCTTTCTGATCTTGATTAGCTTCCACTGAAGCTTAACCATGGGCGACAAGCAAAAGCTACATCAGATAAGCTTGCCTGATAATAAGAACTTTTCCAGGCACTTTAAAGGGACATGCCAAAGGAGGAACAGTGAAAACATAAAGGTAAAGGTAAAGGTCTGACCATTAGGTCCAGTCGTGTCCAACTCTGGGGTTGCGACGCTCATCTCGCTTTATTGGCTGAGGGAGCCGGCATACAGCCAGCATGACTAAGCCGCTTCTGACAAACCAGAGCAGCGCACGGAAACAGTGTTTATCTTCCCGCCGGAGTGGTACCTATTTATATACTTGCACTTTGACGTGCTTTCGAACTGCTAGGTTGGTAGGAGCAGGAACCGAGCAATGGGAGCTCACCCCATTGCGGGGCTTCGAACTGCCAACCTTCTGATCAGCAAGTCCTAGGCTCTGTGGTTTAACCAACAAACCTTGACTCATTTAATCTGCCTCTTCCTACAAATGTCACTCTAAGAGTATGTTCACATTAGCAGCTTAAAACATTTTCCCGGCTGCATTTCAAGCCACATTTGCATGTTATTCACATCAGAACCAGTGGTGACTAGTAGGGTATAAGACATGGAGACTAACAGCAGATGGAGCTAGAGCCCATGACAGGCAGACACAACTAGTTCTCATTTTGCAGCCATCCTCCTTTCTGCTGAGTTCTAAAAGAATAATACTAAGTAGGAGGAAGCTGGGAGCCAATGCCACTCCCTGAACTGGTTGTAAGCAAGAAGGCAGGTGGGTTTGAAAGAATCAAGACCGAGGTGGAAGGGGCACCCCATTTACTCCAATGGAGCAGCCTCTACTGGCATTGGCATGGATGGGGAACCTGTGGTCCTCCTGGTGCAGTTGGACTGCAACTCCTACCAGCCCCAGAGAGCCACAAGCTCATGAGTCCTCTATAAAAGAATAGCTTGAAAACATGCATTCTCACTAAGAAGAGTGGATTACTTCAGTGACGCAAACACTTAATGCAGGGAGGGAGAAACAGCAGCCCTCCATACGTGGTTCATTTTCAGCTCCCATCATCCCCAGCCTTGCTGACTGGGTCTGATGGGATGTGGAGTACAACACTATCTGCAGGGCCCTATTTTAACACTATAAAACAGAAAATGGATCTATTTGGCTGATTCCTGGTGAGGTTCTTTTTTATCTTGGAGTATTTGCTTTGCATATGCATACGTACCACACACACACACACACACACACACACACACACACCAGTTAAACATTACATTCAGAAGAGCATTAAGATTAAACAGAATTAAGTTGCCACCGCTTTTAAATGGCTTAGAATTTAAGAGTTTTAAAATAAGGTTTTATATTAATACCTAAGCCCTTTATGGAACTTATTATGTTTAGGAAGTTGGTATTGCAAAGGCATTATCTTTTCTCTGTATTTTCACTATAACCTGGTTGGGAAGGGGGAGAGCAGTGTGCAAAATAATCAGGCAATTTTGTGCCATGAAAATCTGCTTTGGAAGAGTCTGAAGTACAGTATTTGAAGATGTGAAAGGATACAATTCATGAAAGATGTAAGCTCCCTATTTCATAGAATCATAGGGCAATTATAGAGTTGGAAGGGACCCTGATTATCATCTAGTCCAACCCCCTGCAATGCAGGAATACACAGGGATCGAACCTGCAACCTCGGCATTATCAGCGCTGCTCTCTAACCAACTGAGCATATATACCAAGTACAGTCTGTACTCGTCCAGCTTAGGTTTTTGCAGGTGGTTTGCAGTGTGTGGGCCACTAGAAGCAGGCAGATGGATATAGTACAAGTAGGGGGGAAATTCAGTTCCGCTTGAATTCTAATGTGAATCTACCTAATTCATGCTTTCCAAAACAATCTGCAAACTAAAACACAGGTATTCTTTGAAACTCACACTTCTGCAAATTTTGCGATTCAGTTCTTCAAACAAATAATGTATAAAATGTTTTAATGCATAAAAATACATTAGTGAAAATAATATAAAAATGCATTATATTAGGGGAAACTGCACACATAAATGTGTACATTTGGAGAAATCTGCACTAAAAATGCTGGTGAATTTTCATGAGAACTTTTTTTTTAAATGTACACTGTTGCAGAAATGTGCAGAACTGAACTTAAAACTGGAGAGAAAAAAACAGAAACTGGATGAAACCAAAATTGACAGGTTCACCCATGCCTAAGTACAAGTCTTAGGTATTTGGACAGGTCCCCTAACTACTGCTTCTTCACCAGAGCTTCTACTTTTGATGAAGTGCTCCTGTTTAGCAGAGATAGTGCTGTATGTGGGAATGTACTCATAGACCAGGGCAGCAGCATGGGGGGGAAATAGGTTAGTGCAGCCAGCATGAGCCTCTCAGGTGCAGGAAATCAAACCTATCACCGAAGGAATAGTTTTTAATGATATTTTTTATCATTTTATCTCCCCATTTTCTGTGGATTGGTTTTATGGACACACCACTTAGAAATGCAAATAACTAATCAGTATATCAAAGTATTTAATTATGTAATTTATTATTATTAAGCAGTAAGATTCTATTTATTAGAAGAAATGCCTTAGCATATAACACAAATATAACAAGTGCCACAAGCATGCCACCCTAACCATTCAAAACTGCATAGGTTGAGGTTATTGGTCCACCACTTTTCACAGACAAACCGTGCAGAAAACATATGGCAAAAGCTGACACAAAAATTGTATTTCAGTAGAGAGAGACAAAAGCTAGTACAGTGGTACCTCGGGTTACAGACGCTTCAGGTTACAGACTCCGCTAACCCAGAAATAGTACCTTGGGTTAAGAACTTTGCTTCAGAATGAGAACAGAAATCATGCGGCGGCGACACGGCGGCAGTAGGAGGCCCCATTAACTAAAGTGGTACCTCAAGTTAAGAACCTCCAGAACAAATTAAGTTCTTAACCCGAGGTACCACTGTAGTTTGGTAAACTGCTTTTACAAACTAGCGAAGTAAAAGGATTACAGTTCCTCAATTTGTTTAGGAGCCCATCCAGTGTCAAAAAAACCCCCACATGCTTTTCCCCAAGCGTACAACCCAGTTACAGGACCACCACACTCCTGTTCAAGGATTTGCCTCAGAGCAAACAGTGTTCATGCCAATTAGGAGCTTTTTAACAGGAAACTCAGCTAACCTTTTCTCAGCCTCTGCTCTCAGTCACTCTTCTCAGAATTTCCCGCCCTGGTCTGTTTTCTTTTGTAAAAAGTCCCCTCATTTAATTGGATATGCTCCAGATGCTATACACCTGTACAAGCTGACACTAATTAGACTGGACAAATAGGACATTTGTGTAGACCAAGAAGGAGTCAAGAGAGATAACTACTTATCCTTGTAAGATGATTTATACAGCGTTAAATCTTCCCAGAACATTTATAGGGAGGAATGGGGAGCCTGTGGCCCTCCATACATTGCTGGACTCCAACTCCCATCATTCCTGGCCCATGAGCAAAGCTGGCTGAAGCTGATGTGAGATGGAATCCAACAACATCAGGAAGGCCACTGGTTCCCCATCCCTGAAGTATAGGGCAAAATACACACGCATACAGCTGTAGCTTTATTTATTTATTGTACTCACCAATCTGTGTCACAAAACCAAACTTTTGTGGGTGACTTCAAGTGCTAGGGTCCCAGTCTCAGGAGGTGGAAGGAAGCCTCTTAGCAAAACGCTCCCAGAGATAGGAAGGGCTGCAGGTACAGTCCAGGCCAAACAAACCAAGGTTAAGCACAGAAATACCATCTTGGTTCAAAACATAATCCAGAGGCAAAGTCATGTAACAAGGAGTTCAGGCAAGGTACAGCACAGCAAGGAGAGGTGAGCGGAAATAAGCAGCAAGGTTCCAGAAGATTGTGTCATTTTCAACAGCTGGAAGACTCAAGAGGGAAACCTCTGGCCTCCTAGAGCAAACCCCAAACCCAGCTGCTTGTAGCGAAGGTGTTTCAGGGATTGCTTACTCACGAGCCGCACAATGGCTGTAGGCACATGCTAGGCCATCGTTCTGCAGCCTGGTCCTTTTGCCACTCCTGTTCTGGAGGGCTGGGGGGGTGAGCCCACCTCTTCCCCAGACAACCCCAAGCCTTCTTCAGCAGGGATCTCCCTTAAGGGGATCCTCAGCTCTGGTTCCAGGGGGTCCTGCCTGCTCCTCAAGAGCCTTGGCCTGTGGTCTGTGGTGTGGTTCATCCTCTGAGGACTCTGAGTCCAGTCAGGGCCTGCCGTGGCGACTATTGACCTGAAGGGCAAGTCAGCCCACAAACCTTGGAGGAAGTTGCTTTGTTAGTCAACCATTATATGCGACGGCGGCAGCAAGAGTTTTGATCGCAGCAAATTGGAAGAGTAATGAAATCCCCTCTATTCAAGATTGGATCCAAAAGCTGACAGAATATGCTGAATTAGATGGTTTATCAGGGGGGAAAAAATCAAAACAGGAATTTGTTTCTAAATGGGAGGTTTTTAAAGAATATCTGAAAAATAAATATAGTAGTTTAAATTCTGTTGCAGCATTCGAGGAACTTCAGTAATAGTTGCAAGGTAGATATAAGAAATTAGATTTAATGAGAATAAGTTTAATTATGAAAAAAAGTGTATTGGCAATAAGTAATATGAATTTGAAGTATGGAATAGACGGGAGGTTGGGTCTTTAGTGTTAAGACCAATAGATGTTTTATTGTTTGCTAAGAATATTAAGTGTCTATGGTTATTTTTGTAATTTGTGTGTAATTCGGTATTTGTGTTTTTTGTTTGTTTGTTTTTCTTGTTGTATAAATAATTTTTATATATATATATATATATATATATATATATATATATATATATATAAAAGAGCCTTGGCCTGTGGTCTGTGGTGTGGTTCATCCTCTGAGGACTCCGAGTCCAGTCAGGGCCTGCCGTGGCGACTATTGACCTGAAGGGCAAGTCAGCCCACAAACCTTGGAGGAAGTTGCTTTGTTAGTCAACCATCAGTTCAGTTTGCTCAGAGCCATGTTCTCCCTCACAGGAAACAGCAGCCCCACTCACAAAGCAGCCCTCCCAGTTGTAGGCCAGGCAAAGGCCTTTTGCTGTCTGAGGTGAAGGACAAGTTGGTTCTCCCATTTAGCAGGGTGACTGGAATAAAGCTGGCAGTCCAGAGAAAAGAAAGAAACTAATAATACTTCATAATCTGAATAGAAACTTGAGGAAAAGTAAACTAGAGGTCAAGCCTACATAAATGAGGAATACTGCTTCAGAACTCTCTTTCCCTCCAGTTCCAACGATCAAATAACAGTCTTCCTCACAGTTAACTCCCAGCTGACTACAATCTCCAGCCAATTAGAATCAGCTGCCATCCAGAACAATAACAGAATTAACTCCTTAAGTTACTTTCTTAATGGTCCCTGCTATTGTGCTTCCAAGACAATGGTCTCCACTGCAAATGAGGCTGCATTTATGGTTGCATTAACTCTTGTCAACTTTCTGTCCCATAGTATTTCCTGCCCAAGGCCTCATTCTGCCTCATGGTAGGGCCAACTCTCCACACGATACATGCCTGAGGTGGACTGAGAAGGAGGTGAACAGGTCACTTATAGGTTTGTGCATGCGCTTATATTGAGCTATGTTGTCTCATCTGAATTAACAAAAAGGACAAAGGCCAGGTGGACCTCAGTGATGATCCTCTCCTCTTAACCCGCAGGAGAAAGTGCATTACAGACTCTGTGACCTAAATGGGTATTTTCCTAAGGAAATAAAAAAGGAAAGGAAATATTTGCCGCGTATACTAACTCTGAAAACATCTCTTTCATTTTTTGTCTCCTGTTAGTGTTACCAATTTTCTTTCCCTTGTGTTTCTGGAACACTGTATGACTTTGCATCAGTTTCCTTTTTAATATTTTTAAAATAGATGTTCTTTATAATATACCTCTTTCACTCGCCTTAGTCATTTCTGTGAGCAGCGCTTCCTTTTCACTTTCATCTTTTGTATTTCTCATTCCTGACCCCAATTTCTCTTCTTTTTTTTCTTTTTTTGCCAGCATCATCACTATACAGTATCTCTTGCCTTTCCAAAGTGCTGCCTGCGGTTAGTGCTATAGAGCTGCTAGGGTTTATCAAGTCCCGCAAACAGCTAGGTCCCATCTTCACTAAATGAAAAGGGGTGGAGTCACCCATTTTCCTGACTGGCAATTGCCGATCAGTGAAATTTCACCTTCTCCTGCCACAGCATCATTCTAGCACTATGAGACAGGAAACCCATTAAGCTTCCTGACATGAAAAAGCAGTGATTGGAAAAGCTTCACCTGTTCTATTTCTGCCTGTTAGACTTCTTAAAGGCACAGGACCTCTGGGTGGGAGGAGGTAGAAATTAAGCAGCAATTAGCCACTGTGCTTCTGTTTGCCATCTATTATCAAGTAAGTAATAAAGAGTAAATGGAATACCAACCCAAATACGGAGGTCACCTATGCACCTTTCACTGATCTATGTAGCTGGGCATGCATTAGAATTCGTACCTCTAGCCCCAAGGCATCAGAGGGACCTCCTGAGCAGTAAAGGGTGGGGTGGGGTGGCTGCTAGAGGGAGGAGGGAGGAAATTCTCCTTCCACAACTTCCATATTCATGTAAGTATCTGATCACTGCATGCAGTTCTCCAATATGTGTGTGAAAGCCTAATTTCCCTGGATCAGGGCGACTGTATCTTGCTGCATAAAGTTGTGTGTCTTCAGTGAAATCTAGACTGCTTTGATTAATAATTGATCATAAAAAGAGAACTCTCTCACTGATCTGAGAGCCTCAAGTAAATGAAACAAATGATATGGCTGCAAGTCTGAGCACTGCTCTTAAAAGAAGAAACCACAGGGCGCTGCCTTATATCAAGTTAGACTACAGTGGAACCTCGGGTTGCGGACGTAATCCGTGATGGAGGCACGTCCACAACCCGCAGCATTCGCATCCTGAAGCGCCGCGTCTGTGCAGGTGCCAGCGTGATTTGGCGCTTCTGCGCATGTACAAAGCGTGATTTAGCGCTTCTGTGCATGCGCAAGTGACAAAACCCGGAAGTAACCGTTCTGGTACTTTCGGGTTTCCCGCAGTCCGCAACCTGAAAACATGTAACCTGAAGCGTCCGCAACATGAGGTATGACTGTATTGGTCCATCTATCTCAGTATGATCAGCATTGATTGGTAGCAGCTGCCCAGGGTTTCAAAAAAAGGGACATTCCCCACTCCACAAGGAGATGCTAGGGACTGAATCAGGGACCTCCTGTATGCAAGGAAGATGTTGCACCACTGAACTATGGCCTCATCTAGAGAAACCATACTGCCTACACTGGGACAGGAGTGCCAACTTGGAGGGTTCCCTCTTGGAAGTGAGGAAGTGGAGAGTAGACAACAACAGAGAAAGGACTAGGATGTGCCACTGCTGCTCTCCCTCAAATTGTTAGGGCAACTTTGATTCCTGCCCCCTTTGCTTGCTGCAAACACGGATGGGGAACCTGTGACCCTCCACCAACCCTGCTGGCCATTTTCATTCACTCCCCTTCCTACATTTAACACAGCAACTTCTCTGAGTCTCTCTGTTGTCTACTGTTCACTTTCATTGGCCTGGACACTGCCAAATAAGTATGTCATAGAACGACCTTCCTTGATCTTGGGCAACCAAAATTTGTTGGACTACAACTTCCATTATCTTCATCTAGTATAGCCAATGATCAAGGATGCTGGATTCTGTATTCAAAGCAAACACTGGAAATAGATAATTTAAATAAAATAAAATCTACTGCCATGGCCCCTGTGTCAACCTGAAGTCCATATGAGCTGAACCTTGGCTGCTGTGAGTTAATGTAAAACATCTCTCGAATACCATTCGCAGTTAAGACTTTGAACAATAAGTGAGATTGTGGTCCTAATTAGAGGGGACTGGTGAGAGTGAAACAGCACACCGTTATCTTATGCTCAACTTTGATACCACATGACCGCAACTGCTTTTATGTTTTTGTTTGGTTTTTTTCTTTTTTAGCCTTTTAAGTGAAGGAGTTAATTACAGGGGAAGTCTATTCATTTTCTTCAATTAATGAAATCTGTATGGATTTTAATTATGAAAATCTTAAGAGTTTTACTTGGCCAGAGGGGCCTATCAGAATTACTCAGTCTCCTCTATCTAGCTATAGAGTCATTAGCACATATTAGAGATAATGATGGAAGGAGGGATGCTTACTGTGTGTAGCTGCCGATATTCTTGCATCCTCTGTCCTGCATTAATGAATTGGGTTGTCAACAGCTGCCGGACAGTGCAACCCAAGACATGTCTGATCAAAAAGAAGTCCCACTGAGTTTGATAGGGCTCACACTCCCAGGTAAGTCAATTATTCCAGCCTTTAATTTTGCAAATGCAAATATTACAGTCTTCTGCTTTTTGGTACATTAAACTAAATCCAATGGAAGTTAGCTGAATATTTCAATTACTATCTTTAACCACCACTACTTACTGCACCAGATGCACAGAAGGAAGACCAGACTAATGCTTCCATCATTTTGTACTTCCCAAACCTAAATTATTTTGTATTGATTATGGCATTGCCCATGGTTCACCTTCTAAGCATCGCTTCAATAAGGAATCTGCAGGCATACTGTAGCAAATCAGTATCAAAGCTAAATGCTGAACCAATCACTGTACTATTTTAAGGCTCTGCTAGTGTAATTGGGAACACTTGGAAATTTCACAAACTCCCCACTGTGTTTTACCATCTTCCCAGGCTTCACTTGTTTTAAGCGGCCATTGCAAAATGTTACTCATCTCTTCTTACCTTCCATAATCAGTATGATGAAGCACCTTCTCCCAGCACCAAAGAAAAGCATCTGTGTATTCTTGATCCAGCCCTTTGCTTTTCTTCTCCTTGTGCAGAGTGAACAACGAATAATGCAATGGGGGAATGCAGGACCTGGTAGCACAATAGGAACCAGATCAGCATACTGCTAGCACACCTGGAGGGGCATACAAAAGGGAGGACACTGGTTTTTGCTTTAGGTTGGGAGCTGCTACTGCTTTAAGGGTATTCAGATTCATGCACGCAGTGGGGGGGTTTTAATGTCCATGTGTTGCCTTCATCAAAAGGCCATTCCATATTTTCCCTCCACCATTTAATCAGTATTTGCTGTTTTTGTTTGACTTCAGATATTTTGTGTCAACGGTAAATCTCAATTAAATGGGAAATATGGGTCTGTATTTTCAAGAGAACAGTGGGTGGATGTTGTACAGAACCTGCATGCATGAACACCAGAGTCCCTTGTAATCCAGCTTCTATTCCTCTTCTGAAGTCTGAAACCTGAAATTGTTACCTACAAAATGGGACTACAGCACGCGTGTTATGAAACTGCTTGCTAAACTGGTCACTTGTAAGGCCTTGTCAAAAGGTGAAAACTTCACTACTTCCCTTGATTTCTGCTTTAGGATTAGCATTTAGCAGGATGCTACAGACTTTCAAAGAGATGCATCTTGACTGTTCATTCAAATGTGTAGGTAGCAGGAAGGGGCATAGAATGCTGGGTACAAATGAGACCTGAGGGAGGAGAGGAAGTGTCTAGACATTAGAAAAAACAAAAGTGGGGGGGGGGGGGCTGTCAAAAGCTGCTATTTGAAGAGCAACAGTTAACTGACACTTGCCACACAATCAACAATGGATCCGTTTTATTTACTGTCCCATCCCAACCTAACATTCTAAGAACAGTAATTTTTAAGACCTGGTGCCAAAGATTACTTTTTTCCTCCTCCCTCCTCATCTTTCCCCCTTTTGTGTTGTGTCTGTTAATTTAACGGTAAAGCTGAGGGCAGGGAGGGCCAAAGGCAGCTTGCTTATTTTTTTGTAAGTCACTTGAGATTCCTTTCTGGCTGAAGAGCAGGACAAAAATGTATTAAAACAAATTATAAGGAACTGTTCTCATTACAATAAGGGATTTCTCTCCAGGTGGTAACAAAAAGCGTCAACTCTCTATCCAATTAGCAGGTCTGGGATGTAAGTGTTGATCCAATTGCATGTACGGTGTGCAATTACTTATAGGGACGCACAAGTGCCCTTTTAGTAGAATAAACTACTACCGTGCAGAACAGAAAACACTTTCTGGCTTACAATTTAAGAATGGTTTAAAAAACACTTCCCCACACTGCAAGACAGATGGAGGTGGGGGGGGGGAAGACCTGCAGTTCTCAGAAATAAAGTGTTTCCTTCTGTGGCACTCATTCTTGTTTATATTAAAGATGAAAGCAGGCTTTCACATTCCCTTCAGAAAGGTAGCTATTGACCATCAGATGCACTCTTTCGCTCTTCACAAGAGATGAACTGAAGTTACTCTCTGAATCTAGATTATGGAGCACTGGCTGGGCATATTGTTTGTATACTGTTTACAAAAGTGCTGGCTATCCCAGAGATGTATGAGGTGAAGAAGAAGAAATCATACTTTAGCTCTTGGAGCACCCTCTATAGGTCAATTTGACAAGAACAGAGGTTTGATTTTATTTTATTTTTTAAAAAAGAACTCCGCAAAAGCTTGATTACTTTCACCATTCAGATTAACAAATAAATTCATTGGATTTTTATTATTCCTAAAGATTTATATGGATAGTAATAAACCATAAAGAATGCTTTCATATGAACCATTTCTCTAGAACTGGTGTTTAAGTAGTTTATTCTGGTTTTCTGGAGAATCCAGACAAAATGGTTGCAAAAACTACTGCATTCAAGGGTTTTCCTGGGAGTCCTCCATGTTTCAAGACCTGGGCTGCAGTGTTTTTTCTAACTTTAAGTGCAACTGCAGTGCTAACCTCTAATGTGGGAACTGGGAAAGTGGTATTAACTCACCTTGCATGGAGGAGTGGAACTGTGAAGCAGTTGGTGACAGAGAAAAGCTCCACCTTTCTATGAAGCTTGCTCTGTATTTTATGGTTGCACTTTGCTGCACTGCTGTCACAGTTAAATTCAAAAAATCAGCTACTTGGGAATTGCATACCAGATTTAGGCCTAGTTCCCTGTTCCTTACTATAGAACTAACCAGGAGCATTTCAACCTACATTGCTACTATTTTATTTCTTGTAATATGTTACCTGTTCCCAGGAATTAAACAGGCAATGTTTGTCCTTTTCTTTTTATATCCTGTTTAAATTCTTTGTGTACTAAAGCAAATATTTACTACTAAAAACCAGAGCAAGTACAGTGGTACCTTGGGTTAAGAACTTAATTCGTTCCGGAGGTCCGTTCTTAACCTGAAACTGTTCTTAACCTGAAGCACCACTTTAGCTAATGGGGCCTCCTGCTGCTGCCGTGCCGCCAGAGCACGACTTCTGTTCTCATCCTGAAGCAAAGTTCTTAACCTGAAGCACTATTTCTGGGTTAGCGGAGTCTGTAACCTGAAGCGTCTGTAACCTGAAGTGTATGTAACCCGAGGTACCACTGGCAGGATAGTAATGTAGAAGATAGCATTGCCACAAATGCCATATGGAACCAGGGATAAACCTGCTTCCAGCTGAATGCAGAAAAGAAATGCAGAGGGACTCATTGTGAAAGGAATAACAGGAACTACTACCCTGATAAGAGGCAAAATATCAGAAGTAAACATGTTCCATACTTAAGTTCAGTAACTGGACTTCTGGAGCACTGTGAGAGTTGCTTTAAGTACAGTGGTGCCCCGCAAGACGAATGCCTCGCAAGACGGAAAACCCGCTAGACGAAAGGGTTTTCCGTTTTTGAGTTGCTTCACAGGACGAATTTCCCTATGGGCTTGCTTCGCAAGATGAAAATGTCTTGCGAGTCTTGAGATTTTTTTTCGCTTTCCCCCCCTTTTTTCTAAGCCGCTAATAGCCTTTTAGCAGCTAAGCTGCTAAGCCGCTAAGCCTTTAATAGCTGCTAAACCGCTAATAGCGCTAATCCGCTAAGCTGCTAATAGGGTTGCTTCGCAAGACGAAAAAACCGCTAGACGAAGAGACTCGCGGAACGGATTAATTTCATCTTGCGAGGCACCACTGTACGCACTTTTGTCAGTAAAGGATTAGCTATCAGATATGTGCCTTCCTGGGCTGTGGGTGCTTAGGACAATAGCTAGTGAGGGTGATTAAACTCTTCAAATGCTATTTGAAGCTATAAAATTCTATAAACACAAGGTATAAGCAATTCAAAACTTGTATGCTAGCACTTCTTAAAAACTGTATTGACTAGACCAATACAAAATCTGCTCAAAAACAAGACTTAAATGAAACAACCTGTATATACATTTTTATTAACAAGGGCATCCTCACTGTGATTGAACAAGGCAGTGGGAAATACAAGGACAAAACATCAGACATGACAACTTCATAGTTTAACAAAATATTGGCATATGAGACTTATATACAGCTGTATTTTCATAGAGTAACATCTCTATTGTATTTTATACACAGACATATAAGAGCTGACCATTTTGAAAAGACAGTTTGGTTCATAAAGGGGTCAAAAATCCTGCCCCGAATCTAAAAATATTAAATCTAAAAATGATCACGGTCATCATTGTCTGGACAGTTTCCGTTTTATATCCATCCAATTAAAGCCTTTTCTGAAAGCCATACATGAAATATCAAAAATATATTGATGAGTCTATCACTAATCATGAATGCTTATATTTACAGAAAGTTACCAAATTCATCACCAAATGCTTTATTTACAATTCTCTATTTCCCCTTTGTGAGTCATTAAAAGTTTAAAAACCATAGAAATACCAGTTAGAAACAATGCATTAAAAAACATACTTGTTTACAACCATTCAGACTGTGTGAAAATAAATGCATGAAAATGCACATTTTAATACAAGTACTCTCACAAAAACTTTTAATTCCAATATGAAGTGAAATAATTTTGCCCTGAAATTTTAGGGTGTGGATCCTTCTCTTTCAGCAAAGCTGCAAGACAAAAATGAATCAGTCCATTAGGAATTAATTCTCAATAAATATTATATGTTTTCTCTTTCTGAAACTTGTTACCATACCTTGCATACATTTTAATATTTGTTAATATGTTTTTATATGTAATGAATCACATTTTCTGCATACATTGTCTGTTCATAATTTAATTTAATGACTGGTTCATCACTTGCATAAGTTGTGCTGCATGTAAGGTGCCATAAGACTACAACGTGTAGCTTCTTGCTAGCAGTGGAAGTCCAAACAAAAAAGAATGGTGATTTGGGAATTTCAGAACACAAGTAAGTGATGTCCAGAGCACTGTCTAATCCTGTTATGTTCAATGAATTGTGGGCAAGGTGCTTGGATCAGTCAGGGTGACCACTTGTGTTCTGGACCCTTGCCCCTCTTGGCTGATAAAAACTAGCAGGGATGGGACAGCTTGCTGGGCAAGGGAGGTGATTAATGCCTCCTTGCGAGAGGGAGTGGTCCCTGACGACTTGAAGGAGGCAGTGGTAAAACCACTCAAGTAATCTAAGTCATTACTGCTCAGTTACCAACCTCCCCTTCTTGGGCAAGGTTATTCAACAAGTGGTCGCAGACCAGATCTAGGCACTCTTGGAGGAAACAAATTTTCTACATCCATTTCAATCGCAGTTTAGGCCCAGTTTTGGTGCAGAATTCAGCGGCCAGGTTGTTCACGAGGACAAGATGGTTTGAGCCTATAACACCAGCCTTGGCCCGACTGCAGTGGCTGTCAAATAGTTTCTGGGCCCAATTCAAAGTGCTGGTTCTGACCTATAGTTATAAACAGCTCAAGACCACAGTACCTCAAGGACTGCCTCTCCCCGTATGACCTGACCCAGACCCTGCAGTAATCACCTGAGGCTCTTCTTCATCTGCCTCCTACACAAGAGGTCTGGAATGAGCCCTTTATGAGGTGGATCCCCACTTGTCGATTGCTCTCCCCAAGGAGGCTTCCCTGGCACTTTTTTTGTTATGTATCTTTAGGCTCCAAGCAAAAACATTCCTCTTCTCCCAGGCCTTTGGCTAATTAAATGATCTGTGGCTTAGTAAATGGGTGGGTGTAATTATGTGTATTATTATTATTTATGTTTATCATTATTATGCTATACATTTTTGTGTTTTATATTGTAAACAGCCCTGTCAAAAAATAACAGGTAAGAAAAAGAGGCAAAAGACAACTGTCCATAGACATACATGCACTGCAAACTAACAATGAAATTGCATGCATGTCCTAAGAAATAAGCCCCCCTGAGTTGAACTGGGCATACTCCCAGGGAAGTGTGTGATGCAGCCAAATATTTGCTGTGAAAGCTGAGTAGGTAAAAAATATTTCCAAATATAATGGGCAGCTACAGAATGCATTTTTTGTGTTTTTAAGAAGAGCAGACTGGTCTTTTTTTCCAATCTTCAGTACTTGTGTAAGCTACCAAATTTTACATGATCCACACAATGCTATGTTAAACTTTCAGTAACTCACAAAAGTAAAGTTTTTCTAGAGGCCTATTGGAGAGATAATATGACAAAATTAGCCATAAGAGCTTGACCTATAAGTCTAGATCTTAGGAACACAGAAAGCTGCCTTATACTTGGAGCACCTGGTCATCTTGCTCAGTATTGCTTACAGACTGGCAGCCGCTTTTCACAGTTTCTCTCCTAGCTCTACCTGGAGATGCCAGATTGAACTTGGGACCTGCTGTATACAAAGCAGATGCTCTCCCGCTGAGGTATAGCCCTACAACCTTTGGTGTGCCTCAAAGTGTAAAATAAAGGAGGGAGTCAATAAAACTTGAACAGAATATAAATAGTGCAGGGCAAATAGATGGCTGTTTTTATATCTTGTAAATTAGTCAAGAAGCTGCCGATTGAGGCAAAGGAGTGTGTAGAGTGGTAAAATGGATTGAATTTGATGGAAGCACAATGTTAAGTGAAGTCTGACAATATGTTTACCCATAATACCGATATGGCATATTTCAGATCACAATGCCACAATATTTTAAACAAAACTCAGAACTAAGGTGACACATCAAAACATAATTGCTGGAGCAATTCTTCATACTTACAATAAATATTTCAGGCATACAGAGAAAAATACAGCAAAATAAACTGTTCAACCCTTCTATATCAGCTGATAATACTCAGCAGTTATATGAATATTTAGGGTTGGTTCTTGGTATGGTCGTCATAGAAAGATAGGTGAGATTTCCCAACTATGCGGACGTTTAAGTAATTTGTTGTACAGAATAATTTTCTGTTAACTGCTCCAAACCCTGCTCTACAGCTGCAGAAGAAAACACATGGCCACAGCTATTCTAAACAGGCTAGAACAGAGTAACTGCTTCAGTACAAAATATGCTTCAGAGCAGGCATGGCTACTTATTCTAAATGCACACTTCATAGGCCTACGGATGCACATTTGCAGCAACATAAAGACGTGCAAGAACTACAGAAAAATACTGCAACCAACCTAGATAAATCTATGTGCAGTGTTTACACTGGGTATGCATTTGGATATTATCTCTAAAGGGGGAGAGCAGAACATGAATATTTATGGCGGTGCAGATTCGAAGCTGCCAACAAGACAGTATCTTAGACCTGCTGCAGCTTAGGGAGGAAAAAAACAAGTTGCAGGACTGACAACTGTATAATGTAATGGTAATAAATGAAAGGAAACTTCCACTTTCTCAGTACAAAAACTATGCATAAGAGCATAAGAATGAGTGGTCAAATAAAACAAAATCGTTCCCTTTCCCTGCTCAAAGAAAGTTACACAAATACCAGATGACTGAAGTGGATGGTTATCATCACTCAGCAAGCTCAAAAAATAGACAAAGCTAATGCACAGTTTTAAGGGGTGGGGGCAAGTTAAGCTAAATGGAGCAGAACTGGCAATACAAGTCATATGGTAGTCCCATGCAACTGCTAAAAGCATAAACTGAATGTCAGGACTCTTGGCCACTGCCACGCAGGATGTTAGGTTCAATGATATTTGGTCCACTCCTCTAATGGAAGCTATGTTCTTAACCATTCAGGAGGCATGTTTAGTTTTTCCTTCTGACATCAGCATATGGTTTTCTATCATTAATATCTTCCTTCAGAGTTCTTATTTTTACCCAATTAATTACTGCTTTGTCGCTGGACTTTGGGACCAATGCTCTGAGTTTCCTCTTCTGGATTTGGACGTTTCCCAGTGCACACTCCAGCAACAAGAGATGCTCTTCCTGCAAATTGAAACCAAAGACCTACTTTAAGAATCTATTTGAGTTTCAGATAATGCCATCACACATGTTTATAGAACTTACCTTGCTGAATTAAGTGTGTTTTCTGGCCTTCCCCATGAGCGTAATGCAAAATACCACTCCCTTGAGGGTAACCTGCTAAAAACACATTAAAATATTTTTGAAATGTGTAATAGATCTGCAATAAATACTTCTGATCAAAGTTCTAGAAATTCTTCATACAATTATAATGCATTTTAATGAAAGTGCCTCCAACTGGGCTGTCAACTGTGTAAGCTAGGCTTGGTAAATACATAGGGCAGGGGTCAGCAAACTTTTTCATCAGGGGGCCGGTCCATTATCCCTCAGAGCTTGGGGGTGGCGGACTATATGGGGGGGGTGAAGAAATTCCTATGCCCCACAAATAACCCAGAGATGCATTTTAAATAAAAGCACACATTCTACTCATGTAAAAACACACTGATTCCCAGACTGGCCGTGGGCTGGATTTAGAAGGCAATTGGGCCGAATCCAGCCCCTGGGCCTTAGTTTGCCTACCCATGACATATGGAAATCTAAAAATTAGTCTTGTTGCAGGTCATGTTGCGCGCCCGTGCCCTTGGCCCCAAGAAATAGCTTTTGGCTGTGTGCATACCTAAGAGGCTAAAATTTTGAAGTCCCATGTGTTCCTGCTTTACTTCCTTCTCCACCTTTCCAGCTGGGATCTGTGGTTAACTTGCATAGCTGAAAATGGTAGAACTCCAGCATATGGGTGGATAAATACTGACAGAACTATCTCACTTTCTCTAAAGCCAGTGAGATTTCAGTGCTTAATTATTCAGGCATACTTAGCTCTCTCTAAATGACAACCTGTATGATTGCTGGCAATACAATGCAAATCCCACTTGAGGAAGTCCCATTTATTTTCTAAAATTCTTCCTCTTGCACCTTGGCCCTCAACAACACACTTACACAGAGGGTAGCCGGGGAATTGGTACTAAAAGCATCTGAAACTTTGCAGGGGCAAGTGGGAGATAAACTTTTCTTTGATTTACAAACTCTGATGCTTCAGCATGAAGTTCTCTTGACTTCATTTTGGTTCCTCTTGGAGAGGGCCAGATATTTTTGCTCAGATACATTCACTTAAAGAAGGTTTAAAAGGAACCTGTCCTATAGAGACAAGGTGCACATAATTACAGGCGGCATGGCAGGAAACCCCTCATTCCTCCTGTTCAATTGGTATAATCCAAAGTACTGGAATAAGTAAGACTTCTGAAGAATTTAATGCAAAACTGAAGCAATGTTGTCTTACCTTGCTGCTGAATTCCACTAGTTCCTGTATGAGATTCTCCTAACGTGCATGTTTGAAGACTTCCTGTATGGGCTTCATTTGTTCCCATTTGAGATCCTGGAAGAACACAAATCTGCATGGTTAGCTCTACTAATTTCTGGGAAGGTATAGGCTTCCTATCAATAGTTAATTTGTTTTAATGGTATCTCTGTCCGAGTGCAATGCAGATATTTCCACAGTCACAATAAAATTAATTTCTGGCTAGACTGTCAATTCGTTTATGATCCTGCCCAAAGGAAGCATTTATTCCTTTGCCATTCAAGAAATTAGACTTTCTGGTCAGTCCCCCAAACTATTTTTGTTTGGTTTTAAAGATTATAATCTGAAAGCTATGAGAACTTCTTCAGAATGTGAAATACTAAACTGCCTGAGCTGATTATGTGTATTTGTGTGCTAGTTACATAGCCCATTTTCTTAACCAAATCCATGTGCAATCTCTACTTTTGCATGTTAACTGAGCTTGGACAGGAATATTAGTACATGCAAACAATGACTTGCAAGTACTTTCCTCTTGGTTCAAAGTAACCAAGATAGAAAAGGCCTTAATCCCGATTTCGAAATACTGTATTGTAGAACTACATCTGCATATTATTTTGAAAAGAACTATTAAATATTTAGTCATCACAACTGCATTTTATGATATTATTAATATATATCCTATCAATATTAATATATACTGTGGTGCCTCGCAAGACGAAATTAATCCGTTCCGCGAGTCTCTTCGTCTTGCGGTTTTTTCGTCTTGCGAAGCACGGCTATTAGCGGCTTAGCGGCTATTAACGGCTTAGCGGCTTTAAGAAAAAGGAAACAAACTCGCAAGAACTCGCAAGACATTTCGTCTTGCGAAGCAAGCCCATAGGGAAATTCATCTTGCGGAACGACTCAAAAAACGCAAAACCCTTTCGTCTAGCGAGTTTTTCGTCTTGCGAGGCATTCGTCTTGCGGGGCACCACTGTACATATAACATACTCAGATGTAAACACTAAGAAAGTTGAAGAGTTCCCCTTTTGTAGTGGAAAGGACCTCTACCTGCAACTGGGTATCAGTATAATGGATGCTGTACAAATAAAATGAAAACACTGCATTTGGCTTTTCTGGGTTTTTTTAGACTGTGAGTGTTGTGTTGGAGTTCTTTTAACCTTTTATGGTTATGTACTTTATTGGAAACTACTTATTTAAACTGCCTTCAGTACGCATTTATTTGTGGGAAATGCAGTAATTGACTATTGGCTAATTGTGTTCCAGTCCAGGTGCTGAGATAAGAGGCATGATGCTCCCTCAAAAGCTGTGGAGTGAATTAAACCCTATCCCATCTGTAGTCTGTGTGTAGATGTCCACTGTACCTAGTAACTGAGTGATTATGAATAATAATGACCATATGCTATTGAAGTTCTAATTTTCGAAAGTTGGTAAGATAGATTTGCTAAACAATACAATGTCATTGGAGTCTTAAGTAGATTTTACTGCTTTCTATTTCCCAGCCTACTTTTATTAAGAATAGGTAGAACTTACCACTGGCATTGGTACAACTAGGAAGGGTTTCCCCTGGTGAATATCCCATTAGGCCACTATTTCCATTCCCATTCCCATTAGAAGGCACTGATGCAAGCAGACCTAATCAAAACAAAATACATTAGCATCAGAATGAAGAACATACATTTTTGTTTAGTCACTATCTTTTCCAATTCTGCTGGTGGCCTTTCTGTATTTCATCCAAAACGAAAATTAGGTCCTCCAAGAAACAGATCATAGAAGAAAATTACAAGGATTGGCAGTATTGTTAAATTTATGACTGTTCATCCAGGCATGAGAACATAGTCCGAATTCGAATACAAAGATTTTAAAAATGCAGGAACGGGGGAGGGGGGGGCCGCAAAGGCAGCACCAAGATCAGTATCTGGAAAGTATGTAAAAGCAGCAAATTCTCCTTTCATATGGATGTTCATTTTCTCTTTCCAGACAGAAGAATGCAATGGGCTGTATCCAACTAAGTTAGACACTTACTATGACTAAAAAATGGATCCAACTCCCATGTTTTCAAAAAATCTAATCCAATGGATCATTGAAAAATTCCGATTTGCATCTGGTCAAGTCATCCTCAGAGTACTCTCACCAAATCAATTGAGTTATGTAATTCCATTGATTTCAATGGGTCTACTCAGAGTATACCTTAGCTGGATAAACCCTTTATAGAGTGGTTCACAAAATTTAACACAACAGTTCAACATAAAACAGTTGACATGAATGAAATGCACAAGAGAAACAGTCTTTCATTTGCCAATCCTTTCAATCACCTAGTTACACTCATCATGCCTGGGCCCTGTGGCTATAGAGAAGCAGTCAAGTACAGAAAGAAGTGAACTTCTCTAAATCAAAACATTTTACCATACCTAATCCTCTGTATCGTGATAGTTGCTGGTAGATTTGTTTCATCCTTTCAATATTCAAGCGACTTGCCTCAGCATGATTTACCATTGGTTTAGGGTAATTCACTCCTATTACACATTTTGCAACCTTCTGGACACCCTCGGGGGCATTCCAAGGATCATAGATGTACTTTGCAGGAAACCCTCTGAGTACAGGCAGATAGCGTCTTATAAAGAAAAGAAGAAAAAGTTTAAGTCACCAAGTCCTTTATAGAACAGCTTGTTTAACCCTTTAATTTTTCTAATAATTGGCAATGGTACTTAACCTGATATAGTCCCCATTAGGGTCAGTTCTTCTGCCAAAGCCCACAGGGCAATAGCAATGGAAAAATTGCTGGAAGAAGGAGCTACAGGACAGCCACATCCAACTGCCTGCATTCACACTCCAGTCAGCATCCAGGAGCAATTCTTCAAATACCTTTAAAACAAACACTCTGTTAGCCCAAATAGTTTTTGAGAAATACTTTTTCAATGCTGTACAGTTTTGAAGCATTAAGACAAAGCCATCAGAGTCATGGCTGCTAAAATGACTATGACGAGTTACATAAAACTCCTACTCTTGACATAATGCAGAGGAACATATACTGTAAATTCTTGTTCCAAATCCCTGTTGAGGCAAGGCATATGAGGATACACACAGCAGAGCCCAACAGAATTCCAAACTGTGCTTAATCAGCAGTAATAATTTTATCTAGGTGAGTTCATCTGCACCAGAAGCACAAAGTGGCTCATATACATAAACTTAGACTAAAAATGAGAAACAAAACTAAGGAGATCTTAAGATGGGCATCACTGCAAAAGGAGTGATCCTAGACTGTTCTGCTGGCCTGGACACTGTTGCCTGCTCACCTGGCTTAAATATAAGATACGTACTGTACTGAATAAATGTGAACGTAATAGGTTCGTTCAGTTCTTTGAAAGCAAGGCAGTAGTGGGAGATGCTGCCCCTTCGCTAGTGTCTTAACTTGATTTAGAAGCACTGGGTCAAGCAACTGCTCATATTGTTGCAGCTATGAAGACAGTCCACAGGATCAGATGTTCATGGTATTATTCTCAACAGCTTTAGAACTGTGCATTTGTTTTTGAGGGAGGGAGCAGTGTAAAGAAAAGGAAAATTCACATAGGAAGCTTTGAGCGTGGCATGTAATAATGCCTGTTCTCCACTAGATGATGCTATTTAGCTAGCCTTGTTTAAGTTATATAACAAGTAGCGCATAGCGTTCACTATTTTTTAAGGGGCTATAAATTCCACTCTAAAGCCATAGCAATATCTACCGTTACAGTATAATCCTAAGCATGTTTACTCAGAAGTAAATTCCATCATCAGTGGGATTTACTTCCTAGTATGTGTGTTTAGGACTGCCTTCTCAGAGTATTTATTCAAAGGATGAGACAAATACCATGGCCTAATACTATTATATATAACTTGATGAACAGAAAAAACAACAATACAGCACTAGATACAACATATTCTGTATAAATAGGTTGTGTAGCAAAAGCTGCCTGAAATTTAGAAATATCTGCATAACTAAAATATCAAACTGAAATCTTAAAATGCCAATACAAAAGAAAAATCATCATCAATTAAGGAACAAAGAAATGTACCTTCATCCCTTCTTCCCAACTAATCCACAGATCGCCTCGAGTCAAGAAGCATGCTACAGCATGCCTGGCCAAGTGGTGGATCCAGCCTTCCTGACGTAGTTGGGTCATAATAGCATCAATCCAAGGGAATCCTGTCCTGCCCTCTGCCCATTTTGCCAAAGCCTCAGGATTCCTGTCCCATGGAATCTGCACACATATGGGATTGCCTTCCATTTTATCAAAGCGTGGATTATTAGTGGCTGCTGTGTAGAAGAATTCACGCCACAACAACTGGCCATAGAGGGAAAGAGGAGGAGAGCTGTTCTTTTTTACCTGAAATGATAGCACAATAAATTATTCATTTTTTAAAAAAACAAGTTTTATTTTATTATTAAATGAGTATTTGACAGTTCAAGTTGGCTGGTTCATACCTTTTTGTATAAGTCTGTTAACTTGAAGTAAAACAGGCGGCAGGACAAACAGCCAAATCGTAGGTAAGGACTAAGTCCCGTGGGACTTGCAAGAAGAGAATTTGCATTCATTCGTGGTCGTTCAAAGTTCGCTACCCAAGCCTTAAGAAAAATGAAAAGGTTATGTACATTTTTCATTCAGGTTTTTTTCCCCTTATAATCACTTTTTTAAAAAAGGAAACTTGGCAACAGCTAATGGCAAACCTAGATTTCAGAATTTGGAACCACTGACGTTTACCAGCTTCAGTTTATTTACCTGTAAATTCTAGAAGCAACAATTGGTCTTCAATCAAAAGGTACTGAGAAAAGGTGAACTCTATGTGAAAATACAGCGACAATACAATACTGACACCTCCCTCAAGGGCCATATGCTTGAGCCAGTTAATAAAGGCATAAACAAGTAGCTGAATTATATTTCTTTAGAAGAGTTAACAAGAATATTTGGAAGATCACCTCTACAAGGGAGATACATTTCACTCCTCCCCATCTGCTTTTTAGGTAGGTGTGAAAGAGCTTTTTATTTCAGTTCATCTTTCTGGGAAATGGTGGGTACAATTTAAATTGTTTGTCTGTTGGCCCACTTTGTTCTATGCTGCTCTTTGTGTTTTAGTATTTAATATTTTGATGTTATTTTAGTTTTTGTACCGAACTTTAGCCTTCATGGGATGATGTTGTGTTTTGAAAGGTAGCATAGAAATCCTCAGATGCTAGTCAGTACCTTTTTACCTCTATACAAGGTATTAAACCACGATTAACTGATGTCTGCTAAGGCTAGTGAATGTACCTTTCTTTCCAAATGTCTTTCCAATCTTGTAAGAGCTTCTGTTTCTCCACCTGGCCAAACAGCAGAAGGCAATCCATCCGTATCAAAACCTGCAAGATAAAATAATTATAAATATAGCAGCCAAACAATTTTGGCAAGAATCTCGTTTTCCCAAGTGAGAAATTGTTTGCTAGCATATCAATGCTAAAAATCAAGGATAACAGAGGGGGAAATATCCAAATACTACAAGCTTCTAGGTTCCAAAAAGATTCCAAAGATGTGCATGGCTTCAAAAGTGCTACATATTTACCCACCAAATTAATAAAGATCTTTTATTTCCTTTTCTAATTAACAGACAAGTGGCTACATCCATAAGTACCCTTCGACATATGAAATGATTCCCTCCATTTGCAGATATAGTGGTACCTCGGAAGTCAAATGGAATCTGTTACGGAAGTCCATTTAACTTCCAAAATGTTTGGAAACCAAGGCACAGCTTCTGATTGGCTGCAGGATGGCTTCGGGTTCCAAAGAACGTTTGCAAACCAGAATACTCACTTCCGGGTTTGCGGCGTTTGGAAGCCAAAATGTTCAAGTCGCAAGGCGTTCGTCAACCAAGGTAGGACTGTACTCTCTGAATACCACAGGTCTCTGCTGATGTGGGGAAAGAAGGTGATTCCCCATTTCCCTTCAGCTGTTTTTCAACACACTACCCAAGAGTCTCTTAACTCTCCAAAGCTGGTTTACAGGGTGCAGAAATCTACAAAAATCACTCCCCCCCACCACTATGAGAGGTCTCCGTTGAATGAAATGGGCTTCTGAAAATAGAAGGGCACCACTGAACACAGCCCAAATTTTGTTACTGCTGTGTCTGAAACGTTTGCTGTAATGCAATAATGTCTAGCAAGTGAACAACAGAGAGCTGTTTTCATTTCGTAATAAAACAGCTTCCCTCAGAATTTTTAAGATAAACGATAGCAATCAACTTCACGTATTTTGACTAGGTTTCTTTTTAAACACATTTTCTTGTTATTTTTAATTGTTTTAGCTGTTTATTATATTTTGCACATCTCCTTAAGAGGGATGTGGAAGGTGATTAATAACAATAATTTTACATTCGTCATCTCAGAAGTAACCCTGCTATGGGGAAAAATGATTATATGCATATGGATATAGCATTAATAAAAGTAGTAGTACTAAGAGCTGTTCAACAGTGGAAGAGACTCCCTTGGAAGGTGGTGGACTCTCTTTCACTGGAGGTTTTTAAGCAGAGGTTGGATGGCCATCTGTTATGGATGCACTGCATAGCAGTAGGTTGGCCTAGATCAGGCATCCCCAACCTGTGGCCCTCCAGATGTTTTGGCCTACAACTCCCATGATCCCTAGCTAACAGGACCAGTGGTCAGGAATGATGGGAATTGTAGTCCAAAACATCTGGAGGGTCGAAGGTTGGGGATGCCTGGCCTAGATGACCCTCAGGATCCCTTTCATCTCAATTCTATGATTCCAAGAATTGCTGAATACAGAATTTATAATTGGTCTCTAATGCCCATGCATCTAGATTGATATCCTTTGACCAAATGTTTGTATTTAACTGAAATAAAAGATATGTGATCCCCTACAAAGTCTTACAGTCTTACTCATATTTCTTGTCAAATAAGCAAACCAGGTCTATTTTCTGTTATGATAAAAGTTTTTTTAAGTCAATGGTTGTAAGTGTCCTCTGAAGAGAGATTGTTCATTCTTCTTGTAAAAGTTACTAGCTTTAGACACTCCACCTTGAATACAGTACTGGGAGAATAAATTAAGTGTATTAGGAAAAATGCTTCTCTTGACATTCAAACTGTGAATTAATTTAAGGATATTTCTATCAACGTGATACTAACTAACCAACAGCATTTGCTCATTATTCTTCTTCAAGTCAGCTATTGTATCCTACAGTGTCAGGGATTCATAATCCCTTTGGTCACAGGTTGAGGGAAAACCAGGGACAGACTTTTTGTGTGCAGCCCTGATTGTCAATTTTCTACGAATAAACACAGACAGTACAACAGAAGGGCCATTAAAAATACTGGCATTTATTTTTGTAGTGTGGGAAGAATATTAATGAAGTTTCTTGGATTACCTAGTTCTTCCAAAGATGGAACACCATATTTTTCATCATGGTCATCAGAAACTGGAGTGGTACACTTTGACATTACTTCCGCAGTAATAGTTTCTACAGGCATCTCCAATGGCTCCATTCTACTTATTAAAGTCTGGAATCTCTTATAGGTAAGGGGTGGCTGTCCTCCATTTAATTCTATAATCCTAAAAACATGGAAGAAAATGTTAACTTAAGGTAATGTTGTTACAAAACACTGTAGGAAACTGCATATTTTTCTTACCCTTGACATGAATTCTCTTATATCTACAAATAACAGTCCCATTATATTGCAATTTCAGAGCTTACATTCCTTTATCAAATGTCCACAGAAAAGCCTAAAGAGTCAACCACTGTAGTTGTATTAGACTGCAAGTGTAAGCATTACCACCCAGGCAAATAACCAACCTATGAATTAATGATAGAAATAAGTTAGACAAGAAATATTTATAAAAAGGTGACAAGAAAACTAGTGAAAGCCATACACTGCAGTTTTCATCTGGAATGAAGAGCCAATTTTGGCCTGCAATGCCATTTTCCCCAGACTATGCCCACCTATTCATCAGCTGATGCCTCTCATGAGGTCAGCTGATGGGTGAAAGTGCAGAGTCCAAGGGTTTTCTCCCCCCCCCCCAGCCGCTGAAATTTCCCAAAAAGTTCCTTCTTTGCTCCTCTCCCTATCAGGGGATTGAGAGGGGAGGAAAATCTATCTTTTGGTAGCATCGCAAGACTTAGGGCTCAAACAGGAGGCAGGAGCGCTGCCTGGGAGTGCTTCGCAAAAGAAAGAAGCTTGGTGTCCATGCACTGCTTTCAAAGGACAGCTTTTGGGGCAGCTTTTTTTCCTCCCCAGCTGGAATTATTATTCTTTTTTGTGAATACTGAGTATTCCAAGATGCGATAAATAAATAGAACACACTTTCCACACTTTGAAAACACTGGTAAGTAAGCTGCCAAATTTGACTGGTATGGAACCAAATCATTATGTGACAATATTTATGAAGCAATACATTCATAAATAGGAACATATTCATGGAAAATATGGTAATGATTTTTTTCCACATCATTGCTAAAACTTATATATATTGCATATTATGTTACCAGGAAGCTTTTCTTTCTCATTTTAAATTCACAAAACTATTAACTTACTTATCTAGGTCATATAAAGTATGTGAAATTCGTACAATGACTTCCACTCCTGCTTCACTAGCCAACTTCTTAATTGCTGCATCTCTCTCCTTCCCAAATGGCTCAGAGTCATACTCAATAGAAAGTTTTGTAATGTTCCATTCCTGCAGTTTTGAAAAAGGGTTAAAAGGATAGTTGTTACAGATCATGGAGAAATAGGGATAACATATATGAACATTAATACAGTCAAACCAAAAACACAAGTGGCCAAATGTATACAGTAGCATATGAACAGCCCAAAAAATTTCTGCAACTGTAGTTGGCTGCACAGAATATGTGAGCCAAGAGTTCTGCCATGAAAGATTTAAGCAAACTGAAGTAGTATCTATAGCTCCCTCCTCTCAGGAAGCTATAGGTGTAACAGTACAGGCTTGCAGAAAAATGAACATCTATCCCAAATGCAGTCTCAAAGGCCTTAAGAGTATAGTGGTACCTCGGGTTAAGAACTTAATTTGTTCTGGAAGTCCGTTCTTAAACTGTTCTTAACCTGAGGTACCACTTTAGCTAATGGGGCCTCCTGCCGCCGCCGCAAGATTTCTGTTCTCATCCTGAAGCAAAGTTCTTAACCCGAGGTACTATTTCTGGGTTAGCGGAGTCCGTAACTTGAAGTGTCTGTAACCTGAAGCGTCTGTAACCCAAGGTACCACTGTAAATTGACAAGTATATCCCTAATATTCACTTTTTTCAGCCACTAACTGAAAAGACTAACTGATCAGATGCATAATCCAGATTAACAGGATCATTAATATATGGAAGCAGGCCTTTCCTCTTTCATAAGTCTTTTTGCACACACTCTACCTTTGTTTCACTTGAAAAATATCTACCAATTTTTGACAGCTTTGTAGGAAGGAAGAACAAAAGAGAAAGGAATGAGCAGATACAACTGTTACCAAAACATACCCTAAGCAGCTTTTTGTTTGTCACTACAAACATCTTAATGTTTGTGTACACGTACAGTGTATTGTGACAGTATTGCATCACAATGAAAATAAAACAATTTTTGAAGGGAGTTTTAATTTTGAACATTTTTATATATATCTGAGAAATGTTACACACCTGAACTTGTGTGTGTACTGCTTTTCAAATTTTGCCATAGCACTAAAAACAAACAAACAAACAAAAAAAAACCAGAACATTGATCCAGAGTAGCTGGATCTGTTCATGTTCCTGTGAGTTTCAAGAGCTCTCCAAATCAAATGTGAATACATTATGTTACGTTGAAACAACTTGATAAATGTATAGAAGTTGCACAGAAACAGCACTGGAGGAAAGCATCGGATTTTACCTTAAAGAGCCTTGGAAACACATCTGCAGGCTGCCCTCGAATCACAAATAAACGAGAATTTAACTTTCGTAAATTGGCATCCAAATCTTCAAGACACTGAAGCAAAAACCTGTAAGGAAGATATAAGGGGTGGACACATTTATTTTCTGAAAAGCCTCTCTGAAGTTAACAAGATTTTCTGCATGAAGGAACAGTTGTGACCCAACTGTCACAATTATGCACACATTCAAGGGTTCATGTAAATGTTCTAATAGTGTAAAAACTGGTGTTACAATAAAACCTCACATTTTAGCAGCCTTCCCCAACCTTGTACCCCCTAGATACTGCTGCACTACATCAGTCTTGGCTAGCATATCTTATGGTCAGGGATTATTATTTCCAGACCAACAGCATGTAGATGGGCACTAGGATGGGGAACACGAAACTGCTCACATCTTCTCAGTGCATAGTCTCACTGTGTAGATGATTTGCCAAAAAAATCTATAGTCAAGATTATTATTATTAAATAAATTTAAATATTGCCCATCTGAGGATCACAGAGCAGTTTACAGTGCTGCCAAAGATGTCAGCAAATTCAGAGAAGATGTATTAATCTGTGATATCTGTAATGGAATAATAGCAGGACCAATATGCACTTTTGGAACTCTTAAGACGATTAAGCTCAGACAGGATTTAAATGTTTTGCACAGAATGTTTTCCACAGAATCTATTAGCTGTCAAACACCTTTGCTTTCTTCATCAAAGCAAATTCAGGTACTTTGTTACATTAATTATAATTTCATATTATATTATATTTCAGGTACAACAATTCATGGGAAACTACTGAATTTTATGTGCTGCTAAATGTGCCTAATACATGCGGGTGGCACTGTGGTCTAAACTACTGAGCCTAGGGCTTGCCGACTGGAAGGTCGGTGGTTCAATTCCCCGCAATGGGGTGAACTCCCCTTGCTCGGTCCCAGCTCCTGCCAACCTAGCAGTTTGAAAGCACGTCAAAGTGCAAGTAGATAAATATGTACCGCTCTGGCGGGAAGGTAAACTATGTTTCCGTGCGCTGCCCTGGTTTCACCAGAAGTGGCTTGGTCATGCTGGTTACATGACTCGGAAATACTGTCGGCCAGTAAAGCGAGATGAGCGCCGCAACCCCAGAGTCGTTCACGACAGGACTTAACTGTCAGGGGTCCTTTACCTTTAAATGTGCCTAATACAGTTAGCTTCATTTTCCTGAATGGCAGAAGAGTGATCTTACATTGTAAGAAATTCCAGAATGGTAGCCAGGTTAGTCTTTTGCAGCAAAAACAAAGAATCCTATGGCACCTTAATGATAACAGATTTATCACACTATTAATTTTTATGGACCAGAGTCTGGTTCAACACAGAATGCTTAAGTAGAGATATAATAGCAGGGTCAACTGGAATGAATTTAGATATACACTTTAAAATGCATTTTTCTCCTGAAACAATTTTAATTTAAGCATTAAAAAGTTGCTAACCTATTTTTTGCTTTCAATTAAGCATGAGATAGCCAAACCCCAGGGGAAGGGGGCTGAGATAAGCAGTTTTGTTAAGAAAGGTATAAGTCTTTACCTTTAAGCTTTTTCTAATTCATCTCATATATTTATGGTAGCATTCCTAGAAATGTTTAATAGTTCATTGTTGCATAATTAAATTCCTTTATTAAATTGAATTATCAGACTTAGAACAATTGTAATTATAGAATAGCAATACTAAGTCAACTGCCTGCCTTGCTTAATCCTACAGGTCTTCTGCAATATTCCTATAGTTTGATGGGTATGTTTCTCATTTTTCAGAAACACAGATGTGCACTGATATTTAAGACAGACTTATATTTCAACTATTGTTTTAAAGGATTGCATTAAAACCTACTCACTGTGACCAAAAAAATGCAGCTGAGTGGCAAAGAGAGAAAAAACTGCAAACTGGAATGCTTTCTTTCTAGCAATCAGTATTTTTTGTTTGTTTGTTTGTTTCATAAAAGTGATAAACAGCTTGATTGTAAAACAAAAACAAAAAACACCTCACCATGGTTTACAAAAAGATAAATAAAATTCTTTAAAACAACAAAATATTAAAATACTAAAACAGATTAAAATTCACACCAGCATTTCTAAGCATCTCAGTAGCCTTGCCTAAATAAGAATGTTTTTAGTAGGCGCCAAAAAGAATACAAAGAAAATGCCTGCTAGATATCAATAAGCAGCGAGTTCCAAGGTGCAGGTGCTGCCACACTAAACAACTGAGTTCTCACAAATGTGGAATGGGTATTTTGTGGCAGCTATACTAGTGCCAATTCCGCTGATTGAAGCAGTCAAGTGGGCACATGTGGGGTAAGGCAATCTCGTAGGTAAACTGGTCCCAAGTTATTAAGGTTTTTGTATAATAATAGCAACACCTTGAACTTGGGCCCAGTAGCAGACTGGCAACCAGTTGAACAGCCACAATTCAACAACAATTCATTCTTAGAGGACTTCTATTATGTACACTACAAGTCTGATATTATGACCTGAGTGCTCTTAGCCCATATAATCAGAGATGAAGCTATAGGAGATATTTACCGTATTTTTCGCCCTATAGGACGCACTTTTTCCCCTCCAAAAATGAAGGGGAAATGCGTGTGTGTCCTATGGGGCGAATGCAGGCTTTCGCTGAAGCCTGGAGAGCAAGAGGGGTCGGTGCGCACCGACCCTTCTCGCTCTCCAGGCTTCAGGAAGCTCTGCACAGCCCTTGGGAGTCACGCTGGTCTCCCGAGGGTTGCGCAGAGCTGCCTGCATTCCGAAGCCTAGGGAGACCGGCGCAACTTCCCGCCGGTCTGGGGTTGGGGTCAGGGGCTGGGGTCAGGGGAAGCTCAGGCTTCCCCGCACCGGGGGGGGGGATTTTTTTTTCTTTATTTCCCCCCCAAAAAACCTAGGTGCGTCCTGTGGGGCGAAAAATACGGTATGTAACACCTATCTTATTTGCAAACATAGTACTTCAGTCAAGTGGAAGAGGAAGTTGTTCTTATTCAACAGTAGTGATGGTCTGTATGCAGTCTTAAGTGGTCAAAAGTGACCTATAATCTGTATAGCAACCATACAACTTTATGAATTTATTAAAATGTAAATTAACAATTTTAAAGAACGGTTCTAAAATTATCACCCAAGTCTGATCAAAATTACCTCATTTCAAATAAACAGTGCCAACCTCAAAAAGTGGTTCTTTTCTAGAGCAGAGGCAGAGATGCCCATAGCTGCTGGATCCTAGACTCTCATTCCCAGCCCATTTACCCCCCAAACTTCCATTATAAGCTCTAATTTTTGAATGGTGAAAGCTACTATTCATAACCTATAGTTCTTAGATATCTTGTGCTATGAAAAATATTATTTGCACAAGCTCAACTGATATTCTTTATGCACTTATTATTCATTTGCAATTTTTATATCCTGCCTCCTCTTCCAAGAAGCACATGCTTCAAGATGCAGCACACAGACAGCTGTATCTAATGCTGTACCAGTAAAGATCTGTTTATGCAACAGGACTCTCTTCTCCTCCTCCCCACCCCAAATCTGCTCCAGAAGGTCCCCAATACACAGGAGCAGATTTTCAAGATGTGCAGGGTACTGGTTCCTCCCTCCATATTATCCTCACTACAATCATGTGAGACAGGTTAGGCTGCGAGACAGTGATTGGCCCAGGGTCTACAAGTGAACTTATTGGCTTTAAGAATTTGATCCCCCACTCCATCTTGATCTGATTCTCAACTTCAGATCACACTGGTTCTTTGTTTGTGAATCTAGAGGGCAAAAATAAACAAAGAAAAAATACACAACTAATTATTAGCTTTTCTGTTCACCTAATGCAGATGAAAGGAAGACGCTGCCACTACTGACTATCCCTTCTGAGATTCTAGAAGTGTTTTCTACCCTGCTCTCACATCTATCTTTTCAACTTTTACAGAGTAGACAAATGCTACATTGAAAGCAGATCAAAGCATTCCTCTGCTGATCAACCAAAGATTTTCAAATACGTATGTATCCGTTTTTGTTACTCTGTGTTACTTACAGTGTAGTGCAATGACTAGAGTCTGGATGTGTGAAATCCAGAATCAAATCTCCTCACTAACTACAGATACAAACATATAATCTCTCAGCCTCAGCTACTTCTTTCAGAATTGTTTTAAGGTTAAAATGCCATTTTCACTTTCCCAGAGGAAAAGGCAAGCTATTAACATAACATTCAACTATTTCCTTGCACATAATCAGAATTACATTGTTCTATTTAAAATGTCTAAGTACTTTGCATGAAAACTCAATATACAGACACACTGAATAATTTGTAATACAGTTTATCAAGTTAGAATTAAATGAAACAATACTATGCATGCTTTAAGAAAAATGATAATCAATCTAAGTGTGCAAAGGAGGCCTAAATGGAAAGAGAACCTCTTGAGAACAGAACATATACAATTTAATCTTCAAAGTCCCCAACAGATTGGGGAAAGGGAGTGGGGAAGAGAAAGACACCCAGTATAACAAACCCTTAATATTTCTCTCCATCTGTGTTAGCTTTTAATTCATTTCCTTATATGATTTCTAAAGGATTGTTTCAATATGAATCAACAGAAAGGGCTTCTTAAATAGGTCGTTGCTCTAGCAACCAGCAGCCTGTTTGGACTACTCCCGTCACAATGACCTACTTTAAGGATCATGCTACAACACAGTTTCATAACTAGAATTTCAAGTTAATCACTGCAATGTTTTGAAGAGATCACACTGCATTACCAGCCAGAAATAAATCAGACATTTGCTGAAACAGAAAAAGGGTACCACAGCTGAACTATCTGCCATAATTTGCAGAAAAATTACATCTCTGAACACACAATATTCAAATTTCAAAAAGACTTATTTTAAAATTACAACTGTGCTATGAAAGGTGTAAGAAATAGTATAAGAAAGCCTTCCACAATATGAAAGAATATAATACAGTGTAAGGAAGCCAACCAATCTAGTTTTCTTCCATTCTCCCAAATGCATGTGATCAAAACTAGTATCACAAATAGTAATTTTTACCGTTTATAGGCAACAGTCAGAACAATATCTATGTAGGGCTACTGACCAAAGTGCTACAGTACAGACTAAAGAAGTTCTTCCTTTCTTATGGCATAATGGATCAAAGTGCCCAATAAAACTATAGTTCAGATTTTCTATCATGAAAGTTCTAGGACTCAAAAACTTTGCTCATAAGTCTGGATGCACAGAAGTTAAACCTGAATATTGAAAGTCAACATATATAGAGCAGTGGTGTCCAAACTTTTTTCAAAGAGGGCCAGATTTGATGAAGTGAAGGGCCGGATTAGGCACCTGAAACGGACTTTGGATGTGCCTGATATAAAGAGTAGGCAATACCCACTTAAGACATACTAATGCTCACCTACTGAAATGTATGACTAACATGTAATTTCACCCTTTTTTTATTTTGATACAATTGGGGTGGGGGAGTCTATCAACTGAGCTAGGAAATCTACTTCCACCCAAATTCCCTCAACTTCTCTAAGGCAGTGTCACAAAATCACTTTTGTGTGTGTAAGAAACACTCATTTTTGTACATAAATTTCTGTAGTTAGCATCTAGTTACAATATTACATATTTCAGTTCTGACAAAACACTATTTTTTGAACCTGGGAAAATATGAAACATCACTAGATAGAATGTAATTATAACATAGAATTTAGGTGAGTAAGCATAATTAGCATTTATAGCACAGATGGTGGGACAAGGAGTGCCTTTTACCAAGTTCAGCTGGTGTACCAGCAGCAGCTCTACTTAGATTAAACTGATCTTGAATCTGTTAGTGATGTCCTGGTTAAATCCAGACTGACTACTGCAAAGCACTCCATGTGGGGGTGCCTCTGGAGATACTTCAGAAACTTCACCTAGGGTAAAATGCCGTTGCCCAAATGTTGATTGGGTGAGGTACTCAGAGCATATAACTACAATAGTTTAACAGCTGCAATGGTTGCCAGTTCATTTTTAGGTCCAATTCAAAGTGATGGTTATGACCTTTGAAAACCTTAATGGTTTGGGACTGGGATAATTGAAGGATCACCTACAAATAGGAAGCTGCCTAGATCTTAAGATCAGCCTTGGAGGCTGTGGGTACAATTAGCCTGGCAGACATATAAGATAGGATTTTTGGTGGCAGTCCCATCTACAGAACTTCCTTCTCCGACAGCTGTTCAGATTTGTTTTAGACAGATCCTACAAACTACATTTCCAATTGGTTAAGCTGGTATCCTATACATTGGTATCTCGAGTTACAGATGCTTCAGGTTACAGACTCAGCTAACCCAGAAATAGTACCTCGGGTTAAGAACTTTGCTTCAGGATGCGAACAGAAATCGTGCTCCGGTGGCGCAGCGGCAACAGGAGGCTCCATTACCTAAAGTGGTGCTTCAGGTTAAGAACAGTTTCAGGTTAAGAACGGACCTCCGGAACGAATTAAGTACTTAACCTGAGGTACCACTGTACTAAGAGTGAGGGGGTAGCTGTAATACATATGGTTATACCATCTGCTGTTGGTTTGTTTTTATTTAGTAATATCAACATTGTACTGATTTCAATTCTGTAGTTAACAATGTTGCATTATTGCTGCCACCTTTTATTTTAAGTACCGTATTTTTCGCTCTATAGGACGCACTTTTTCCCCTCCAAAAATGAAGGGGAAATGTGTGTGCGAATGCAGGCTTACGCTGAAGCCTGGAGAGGGAGAGCGGTCGGTGCGCACCGACCCCTCTCATTCTCCAGGCTTCAGGCAGCTAGCCGCAAGCCTTCTGAGCGCGGCGGGAGTTCCCGCGGGCTCCGAAGGCTTGTGGATAGCAGCCTGCAGCCTGAAGTCCGGGGAGCGCAGCGCCAATTCCTGCTGCGCTCCCCAGGCTTCAGGCAGCTATCCGCAAGCCTTTGGAGCCCAGAGGGAGTTCCCGCCGCACTCAGAAGGCTTTCGGATAGCAGCCTGTTCCGGGGGCTGGGGTTGGGGGAAGCTCGGGCTTCCCCAGCCCCGCAAGCTCCGGGAGTGGCGGCGAGGTTGCGCGCAATCTTGCCGCCGCTCCTGGACCTGTTCTGGGGGCTGGGGTAGGGGGAAGCTTGGGCTTCCCCTGCCCCAGCCCCGCAGCTAAAAACGAAGCCAAGGCAGCGAGCAGGATCCATCCCGCTTGCTGTCTTGGCTTCTGCCAAAGCCGCGCGCAGCCTCTCCCGGCTGGAGACATTGCGCACAGCTAAAGAGGAAGCCAAGACAGGCATCGGGATGGATCCCGCTCGCTGTCTTGGCTTCTTTGCTCTTTGGGGCTGGGGAGGGGAATATTTTTTTCCCCCTTTATTTCCTCCCCCCCCCCCAAAAAAAACTAGGTGTGCTCTATGGTCCGGTGCGCCCTATGGAGCGAAAAATGCGGTATAAATTGCCTTGGAAGGATCCATGATCCTGAAAAGCAGAACTGATAATGCTTCAATGAATGAGAATTAAACTAGTGAGAACATTTACTCTAGTCATGCAATTAAAAGCAAACACAAAAACTAAAGTTAAAATCTTCCATATTTGGATTCCCATTAATGAAAATTAAAATGCTATTTAAGAATGTCCATTGCAATGAGAACTAACAGTAGAAAGAACTCATGGAAGAAAAAGTGTTGTGAAGTCTATTTACCGTACATGTGCTTATCATAAATAGAATTTATGCCAGATAAAAAGGTAAAGGTTTCTAGGACAGACTGTTCCATCATCTATATATCACATTGAATATAGCAGGTAAACACATTTGCTCATTGCAAGGAAAGTCCATTGTGTCACTATCATTGTACAAACTATGCTGTATTTATACATAACTGAACAAACTGGTCTTCTCCGATATAACCAAATCTTTATATACTGCTTGACATTATTTAGTTCTCAAAACACTTGCTTCTTTAACAGATGACTCATTCAGTTAGTTATACAACTGTACTGGTCTATGGTGTCTTAGCTGAAGTATTCAGGCAAATAAAGGTCTCATGATGCTACTGCTTTTGTTCATTTTATCATCTTACACAGAAGCCATTTTTCTTTTTTTAAAAGTGATATCCCAGACAGCAGTATCAAACTGTCCTATGAAGAGCTGAATATGCTTCAGAATGTCAGTCTTGTAGTTTCAAAAGCTCTCGTCAGCATTCACCATGTATAAGGTTGATAAAGCATGATGTTCTAAAATAATTCCTTTTGATTTCAACAGGCTTATTTCACTCTTTTGTTGATCAACTAAACATTTATTTACATTTTTGGTCCAGAAATAAAGTCAGTAAAATTAAATCCCAACTTAAGAGACAAAATAATTTCTAAAAGGCAGCACCTTAGTTAATTACCAAGAGAAAGAGAAAACTACCTACCTACGTTCTACCTGCCAGAATCTGTTTCTTGAAGTGACAGTTATGTAGCTTGAGTACCAGGAGAACAGAGTTTACAAGTGCAACAGCACCATGACTGTCTGTCCCCTCTTGCCCAAGCTGGAAGTAGTGCTTGTATGAACTGTTCATCTGACCTCCATGGCCTGTAGTTATATAGTGGTTATGATTACAATCACCCACCACTCCCTCACCAACAACAGGAGAGGAGCAGTGACCCGGTCAACTGCAAAGCAGGTTAAACTCTCATTACCATCTTCCTGCTTTGCTTTCTACCTTTCTCCCCATGAAGGGAGAGGAGAGATGCCAGATCACCCCTGGAAGACACTGGACCCACCCACTGATTTTTAACAGATGGTGTTGACACCATACTTCTGAGTGGAGTACAGCGGTTAAAATGGGGAGGAGGGTGTTGTTTTTATGTGAATGATTTTTGGACTGGGGAAGCTTGAGGTTTTGTTTATTTGCTAATTAATGGGTCTGAGTATGACTTTGTTATTTGAGTATTGTTAATGCTGTTTGCTACCCCTCCCAGATGTAATGTTATATGAAATATTGATGTATTATATGATTTCCCTCTTATGGTATTGTGTATTGTATATCTTTTTTGGCTGTAAGTAGCTTACAGACCTTTGGGTAAAGGTAAAGGGACCCTTGACCATTAGGTTTAGTTGTGACAGACTCTGGGGTTGCGGCGCTCATCTTGCTTTATTGGCCGAGGCAGACACTGTACAGCTTCCGGGTCATGTGGCCAGCATGACTAAGCCGCTTCTGGCAAACCAGAGCAGCACACGGAAACGCCGTTTACCTTCCTGCTGGAGCAGTACCTATTTATCTACTTGCACTCTGACGTGCTTTTGAACTGCTAGGTTGGCAGGAGCAGGGACTGAGCAACGGGAGCTCACCCCGTTGCGGGGATTCGACCCGCTGACCTTCTGATCGGCAAGTCCTAGGCTCTGTGGTTTAACCCACAGCACCACCCGCATCCCTCAACCTTTGGGTAGCAAGTGACTAATAAATGGGGGGGGGGGAGAGAGATGGAAATTTGCCCGAAGCCTAGAGAGTGAATCACAATGAGAATTTCTTAGAATTTTAGGGATTCCTTCAATTACTATAATCTGAAGCACATAATGACCTTTTTGCTGATGCCTAGTCAATATGAAAGTAAAGTAAACCAGTGCCACCAGACAGAAACAGAGTAACTCAATATGGTTATGATTTTTTCTCAAATTTGTTTTATATTTTTCTAAACCGCTTTAATATTTTTTCCCAATCAAGTGGTATGTGTATGTATGCATGCATGCATGCATGCATAAATAAATAAATAAATGCAGAGAAGGCCTAACAACAGGCTATTCCACAGGTGCCCACACATACTTGTAAGTAAAAAGCTTATACCTATTAAATCTGTGGTTACTGAATACTGTTCCACATTTAAACAGTTATGTGTTTTACTTGTAGACTATTTTAAGAGTGCTGAAAGCAATTTAAGATAAGGGTTAAAACACTAGAGATAAAAATGTAGGAAGCAAATAACACAAGACAGACTTCAGTCCTGGCTTGGTATTCTGGCTTGTTAGCAATCTGTAATGTGAATAAACAACTCCTTGCCAGTTTGGGTGCAGCAACAAACAATATGTTGCTAACCAGTAATACAAGCTTTATATCATTTCTCATGGAGTAAAAAGGGAAAGAGGTTGGCAAGTGGGCCTGCAGTTCATGTCAGCTCATTCATATTCAGACTATAGCATGTTGTTACACTGGACCAGTCCGCAAATTTGGAGCCATATTGAACCATTCTTCCCTCCCAAAACAGCCTTGTCCACATGCAATACAGGAATAACCCTAGGCTACAATTCATGGTTAGCGAGGCGAGTGCTTAACCACAGCACTGGATTAAAACTGCTAGCTAAGTCAAACTTTTGCTTAGCTCACCATGGGACTATTCAAGACTAGGGAGGAGCAACGCAGTTTAGAGCTTCTCTCCAGGAGCCCATACAACTCCAGGAAGTCAGTCTGGTTTACCATGTCATGGAAACCAGGCCAGTATAGTCCCCTTGTGGGGACTATACTCCAGCCTCCTGATCATTTTGATCTTCCCTATCCTTTCAGTTCTTGATTCTCTCAAAAAATGTTAGCAGGGCAGAAGCTTGTTTGATAATTTGATAGTGCTTTCTACCCATTTATACAGAACTGTTGTTATAATTAGCTGGTAACTTCCTGGATGTTCAATTAGCTACTTTCCAGCCCTCTAGTATAGAAGCTAATGTTAGGAACAAGTTATACATTATTGAATGTATCTAACAATATACTCAATTCCTTCCCTCTGCTTCCCTCTTTTGCATAATATTTTGCTTCTTTTTGCTTTCATGTTCTCTTATTCAATTTTCGGGGGGGGGGGGGGTGCCTTCTTGCCCCTGAATCTGTAGCATATGTTCTATTGCCATGGCTTTAAATAACCTCCAAGCTTTTAAAAGAGATGAGATTCTCTTGACTCTCCCTGTCATAATCATTTTTAAAATAAGTTTACTTTTCAAAGTCAAATGTGACTGTTTTGAACTGTGTACACACTATAGTTTTAAAGAATGTTCAAAACACATTCTTTCTCTCAAAGAATTCTGGGCGCTGTAGCTCAGCCCTCACAGAGTTACAACTCCCATCAACTCCTCATTACAGTGCCCAGAATTCTTTGAGGGAAAGAATGTGCTTTAAAGATATAGTGTATACAGAACCTTGGATTTCTACTGGCAATTTCCCAGTTATATGTATATTGAATTTCATATCACTGTGGTCACTGTTCCCCTTAGTTTAGCAACACTTACATCTTGCTCTAGGTCCTCGTCAACACAATTCCAGCTCCATGCCCCACTCATTCCCTAGCCAACTGTTTTAAAAAATCAGTCATTTAGGGTATCTAGAAATGTTGTCTCTTTGTCATTATATAACTCTATGCAATATCACCCACTATTAACACTTTGGATCCCTCTGATTTATTTCTCCATTTCAAGTTCAACTTGATGGGGGGGAGGAGCATGATAATATGTCTCCATTATGACATTATTTTTCAAACCTTGCTTCTGTGGAGGAGTCTGCACCTTTTCTAGATTGACTTCTATGCCCTCCTTGACATGCAGTGCTATACCACCCTTAAGACACATTTCTTCGCTCTGTGTATTCAGGAGAGCCCTGAATGATTATCCCCGTTCCACCAGATTCCTCTTATACCCACTATATTTACACAAAAACGTAAGAATAGCCCTGCTGGATCAGGCCAGTGATCCACCTAGTCCAGCATCCTGTTCTCACAGTGGCCATCCTGATGCATATGGAAGCCTGCAAGTAGGACCTGAGCACAACAGCACTCTTTCCTCCTGAGGATTCCAGGAACTGGGTTCTATTTGCTTTACAAGGGGATTTTCAGGGGGAGTAGGGAAGCCATTCATTTAACGTATTGTCATCAAAATATAGTGAATATACTCCCTGCTCTACACCAGAATCATGCACCCATTTCAGAAAACATGGGTTAAAACACAACATGACTCTTGCAGAGGGAAATCAATTAAAAACATGTTTGAAAGATTCTTGTTCCAAATGCAAAAAATAAAATTACATATCTGATCAAGGTTAACATTTATTTATTTACAGTGGTCTGTTCTTAAGCCAAAACCGTTCTCAACCTGAGGCACGCTTTTGCTAATGGGGCATCCTGCTGCAGCCGTGCCACAACTTCCGCTTGAATCCTGGGGCATAGTTCGCTACCAGGAGCATCTACTTCCAGGTTAGTGGAGCTCGTTACCCGAAGTATTCGTAAGGAGGACAGTACGTAACCCGAGGTTCCACTGTAATTTTAAAACATGTCTACAAATGATTATATTGCCCAGAACAAATGCTGCAAATGCTCCCCTCCTTTCATTTTACAAATGGGCAAGTCACTGAATCTGTGGCTAGCTGAGACAGAAGTCCAGTGTTCTATTTAAGCTTTCCCAATCTGGTGCCCGCCAAATGATCCAAATTCCAACTCCCATCAGCCTCAATCAGCATGACACACTGTCTGGGATGATGAAACCTGAATCCAAAACATTTGGAGGGCAGCATGTTGAAGAAAGGCTGTTCTATCTACTTGCTCCAGTTACGCTGTCACAATGAATTTCCTTAACTCAAATTATGAATGCCACTACCCGTTAACTACCGTTATTTATTTATACTCCAACAAACTCTACAGTTCTGTGATTCTGTGATTCTTTCCTCAACTGCAGGACCCAAGGCAACATTCATAAGGCACTCAATTTTGATGATGGTAATGCTTACCTCGGGTATACAGTGACAAATCAAAGAGACAATAAAAGCATGTGAAGTTTTGTTGGTTAAAGAAAAAAAATCAAAAATCCACTATCAGGCAATACCTTTATTAGAACTTCAAAAAACCTTAAGTCTTGCAAGCTAGCTAACTAAAGAACAAGACACTGAAGGCCCCTGGGACTAATGATAGAAATGGCCCCATGATATATGTCTAACCAGCCTCCTAAGCATTTTAACAAGTGACTACAATATTATTTTCTTTTAAGAATTAAGTACACTTCTGGCCTAGATCTAATCTTTTAAAAAATAACTGATAAGCCCCGACCTATGAAGTCCTTTTGTTGCGGCTAATTGTTTAACCAATAACTGGTATTGCATTTTACCAGAGTTCAAAAACAAAAAAGAGAATGCTTCACGTTGCCTTTATCTACTACCCCTGGCAATTAAAAAGTTTTGAAATGATGATTATTGGTTTCTTTTTTGAAATATTTATTGCCATGTATGACTCACTTCACTTAATATGTCTCAAAGTAGAGTTTTAAATTAATATACTATCTCAATGTTGATTTAATGCAAAACTTGAGAAATTCTAAAACTGTTCTGACTCCCATAACAGCATCCAAATGAAAGCTAGCCACTTAATTCAAAGCAAGATTCACAGAAGTCTTACTACAACAACACATTGCAGAATGAAGTACACAGGATCTGTCACAAATATTCTGAGCCACTTTCGTCTTGAACAACTTGTTAGCTAAGAAATAAGGTGCATTAAAAACATTACACAAAGAAACTCAAACTCAACTTTAAAGCTTTTACATTATGAGAACTATAACAAATGCACCAGGAATGGGGACAAGAGAAAGGAGGTCAGTAACACCACGCAAGGCATCTGGCATGTCAGTATGACAGCAATAGACAAAATTCATTCACAAGTGTACTATGCATTTTCCTTACATCTTACAGTTTTAAGCATCTCCACTAGTATTTCCTTGTGCCTACTATACAGTGTTGATATATTTTACCAAGTATTCATTCAATACCCTATTTTTGACTTCTAAAATCATAATTTTTAAAATGGTGAACAGATGGCAACATACCTTTAGCAGCTTAAATCCAGACCCAAAAGAGGCCCTGGCAGAAATATTTACTATCTGCCATGACCAAGAAATTGCTACCAACCATACTGCATAGTAAGTAGCATAATATAAACTAGAAGACTAGACTAGACTCCCGTCCCTGCCCCCACATCAGTTCTACTTCAAGTAAAAGTTGCCCAGCAGCATTATGTACCAAGTTTTCTAGTTATCTGTGAATTAGCCATGGAACACATGTGGATATCTAGCAGTTCTGGTTCACAATAAACTGGTTTAATTAGTTCAGAATGCAACTAAGAAGCTTCCTTTGAAAGACCTGCACACTCCTTACAGCAATTGATAATCCTCTTCATCTTTATTGTGTTCCACGAATGTCAAAGTAGTCCATATCATTTGTCTACCTTTGCTACTGACCAGACACCAGTTTTGAACAGTGTTTTTGTGACAAGAACTAACCTATCAAGTTTGAACTCACCAAAAAAAAGTCAGATACAGCTCTCATTGCCTAATTTTTCAGCACCATTTGGAACAGCTACATACAAATATACACAAATTTCCCCAATGTTTTATTGATTCGAAGCAACTTTTAGTAGGCCTCTTAGCCTCACAATGTCTGTGGTTGGAAAATGAGCATAACACTGCTTGCGAAATATCCAAGTGAGGTTATGTCTTGCTTTGCACAGCAACAGAAGGAACTGCAAGTACAAGGAAGAGGCTGGAAAGGGCATAATTAGGAGTAGGTCATAGCTAGAAAGAGGAAGGTGAGCATCATGGCCACACATATATAACCTAGGATGGCAAAGCCTCTGTTGCACAGCAAGGGCATTAAAGTGAAAGCTAAGACTCAAGATTACATCTTTAAAGCGGACAGTGACAAACATGTAATGGGTATAACTTTTGGAGCCTTTCACAAATATCTGTTACCCTGTTCGGCTGGAGAACAGGAAACAGAGGTAAGGTTTAGTGGGTTTTGATTTGTTTTTTAATTGGGCCAGCTTTGTTTGTACAAGTATTAAACTATACAATTTTTCTGAGTTCTCAAAAATCCTTTTGACAACACCAACATGGGTTAGAATTTATTCATCGCTTTAAATCAGCACTCTTTTGCATGCAGTGAGAGAAGCGCAGTTGCTTAAGAAGTTAACGACGCAATCCGTTCCCATGGGAAATGGCAAGCTTTAAAAATCAAGTCATGCTGAGAACATAAGCGGGTGGCCGAAGTGCGCCGTCCTTTCATTAGCTCCGAGTGCCAGGACGTCAAGATTGATTTCACCGGCGTTACATAGTACCTGAAACGGCGTTGTATAACCAGCAGCCAACGCGCGTGCGCAGACGACGCCCAAACCTCTCCCATTTCCTCCCCCCCCCATTCCTACCCGCAACCGGGAACCTTCTGAATGGGGATTTATAAAAACCGACCGGCTAAATAAAAAAAGAGCCGCATCCTCGCGCCCACTCATTCACTGACCTCCACCGGTTGATCCCCACGTTGGAGGAGCCCGCGAACCAGGGGTCCAGGATGTAGACGCAGCGCACCGTGTCGGCGCCTTGGATGACTTCCCTCAGCGCCGGGTTGTCGTGGAGCCGGAGCCCCTTGCGGAACCAGTGCACCGCGTTCACCCCCATCTTCCGAGGGGCGCCCGGTTACTCCCCTCACAGGTTCTCCTGGCGGCGGAGGCCGGTGGATGTTGAGGCGGCGGGTGGGGGAAGAGAAGTCGGAGGGAAGAGCTGCCGGCTGTTCAGGAATAAATGAAGTCGGCGTCGCGGCTCATGCCGAGCCGGGGTCCCGCCACTGAGGGAAAACACCCTCAGGGGGGGTTATACAGAAGAAGGAACAGGGGAGCTAAGGGGAGCGGGGGGCCGTAGGCAGCGGCGGCTTTAGGACCCGGTGGAGGCGGCAGCTGCGGCTGTGGAGGCGGCGGCAGCTCCAGTAGCAGTGGCGATGGCCTCCAGCGAGAAACGCATTACCCCTTCTTTCCTCAGCCCCGCGCCCGCTCCACGCAGTTGGCGGTTAGGAGATGGAGGGGGGTTCGAAGAGCTCCGCGGAGTTCGACGCAGACCCGGCTCCAGCTGAACGGACAGCGGTTAGTTCCTCTCCTGGGTTTTTCCCCCTCACACGCAGCCACAAACCAGCCGCCGCTCTCCTCGCCGCCCGCCCTGTGACTCTACGCAGCAACCCTGCACTACAGGAGCCGCCCAGCGCCGCCCCCTCCTCCCCATTGGCAGCCCGCGCGGCACGTGACCTCCGGCCGCCTCACGTTTCTGAAATGTGTTTACGGGTTTCTGGCGGGCGGAGGGAGGGAGGGAAGGAAGGAGCGGGTATCTCCGCGCGCGCGCGCAGCGCTGAGCTCAGGAGCCACGCGGGGCTGAAAGAACCAAAGCCACAAAACTTAACGGCTTACTTTAAAGCACTGTCAACACACACACACACGGAGGAACGAGCTCGTCCGAAACGGCGAAGCTCCAGCCGCGAGCCGCCCTCAGTCGACGGACAAACATAAAATGAGGCCAGGGGGCGTGGCTAACCGGCCTCCAGGCCACGCCCTCAGGGCGTGCGCGAATGTCCCGGATGAGCACGGGGCTTCGGTGGAGGTTTCTGTTAAGCGCGTGGCGAGCCGCGTAAATGCGCGCGGGCGCCGGAGCCGCTGGGTTACATATGCGCGCGTGCACGTACGCACGGGGTGCGCGCACTGGTGTCTCTACTCCCCGTCCCCGTCCCCGCTTTTATTGCAGCCGCCTGGGCCAGCCCGTGCGCGGCTCGTGTTTGCAACACATGGGTGAGGCGTGGGCGCGCGCGCCCTTCGGGTCCTTCCGCTCGCACGGATGGCGACGGGGGCGGCGAGAGGCAGCGCTGCGAACCTTGGAGAAGTCGTCGTTATGTAACTGAAGTGCGTGAGGCGGCTGCGGCCTCCCTGTCACCTCGCAGCGGTGCTTCCGCCCTGCTACTGTTACGGTCCGCGTCAGGCGCTGCATTTTAATTTAAATATTATTACTTAGTTCGCCACGCTCTACAGTCAAATAAAACCTCAGAACCTCTTCCGTAGGGCAAAAAACCCCCACCTCTGCTCGTGCTTTATTTATCAGTGCCAGTTCACTTAAAGGTTCGCCCACCAATATGAGGATGCATTTGAGAGTTGGTAATTGTGGATTGGAAATGGACTTTTGCAGACCTTTCTCCAAAGATAGTTTCAAGACCTTCGATATACATTGCTGGCATGTTTTTACAAAAAGCATAAACTCTCTCGATAACCCAGATTATGTCATCTAGGCCAGTCCCTGGCTGCCAAGGACCTGCAGCACTGACGGAGATGCTGAGGCAAATGAGGAGACACAGATGGGAAGGCGGGTTTGGGTACTTATTTCTACCATGCAGATTACTCTTGTGTGGGAACATTTGATGGCTCCTGTTTGGAAACTGTACTGTTTACACTGCCTCGGTAATCTGGAGCATCTAATGGCTCTCCATCTCTATCACACTCCACAGAGAAAGGGAGACAATAGCACAACAAAAACAATTACAACATAATAAAATAACAGTAATGTGGTTGCAAGAGTGGAACCATTGTCCTACTTTCTCCCCTCACAGCTTCCATAATGGGACAGGAGAAAGCCAATTTGATGGGATAAATTGCTCATTCCCTCTCCAAAGCCTAACTTCATAAATGAAAACGTCTATATTTGATAAAGTGGATACCCTAATCTTGCTCTGAACAAGCTAGACAGAAATAGGAAGTATCTCCTATGCCAACAACATTAGATTAGACAGACTTTAGATTAGTCAAGGCTATCCTGCATTTTCATCCACTTTGCACCAAAATAAACCCATACCCTGTCATTTCTTACTACACAGAAGCCTTTAAAAAAACTTGCTATTCTACACCATTTGGAAAGTAGCTGCAAGCAAAACTATTAATTCACATACTTTTCCCAGAGTGCATTTTTTCTCAGAATATCTGCTTTCAAAGCCACTTGAAGATACCATGCATTTAAACACATGACTTCCCTTATTAGACTTAGAGAATCATGGGGTCTGTAGCTTTGCCCCTCAGAAAACTACAATTTCCAGTACCCTTACTACTGCTTGGATTCTTTGGGGGAAGACATGAGCTTTAAATGCATGTCATGGATGTGACCCTAGTAAACTGAGCTGCTGATTTAGTGGGAATTTGAAGACTAGAGTTGTATATGCACAAAGCATTTGAAACACATTCTGTTCTGCAAAGAATTTTGGGCACTGTTAGTTTACCCTTCACAGAGTTACAGTTCCCAGCAGCCCTTAAAAACTACAGTGCTCAGAATTCTTTGAAGGAAAGAATACCCTTCAAATGTGTTTTCTAGGTTTAGTGTGTACACAGCCTATGGCACATCCAGATGATTGTGCAACAGAATAATATCTTTAGCATTATGTGAAGAGAGTTTGCCTTAGGGACTTTGGTTTCATGATAATGAGGTATATAGGTGTTCACATCCAAGCCACCTTGGGTCACACCCACTTTGGAAGCATGCCTGGTCTAACAGTACCTAAGAGGCTTGGGAGAGGGAGGGGGTTGCAGACAGCTTCTATTTAATACACTATAAGGTGGTGTAGGTTTTATGGGGCCAAAATAATGTCGCTGGGAATCTAGTATTAACTGTGTGCTTGACCTGCTCAGCATATTCACTTGCAATTAAGTGGATTACTACAAAGACACCACAAATCTCCAGTGCTCCCTCTTTCATAGGAAACTAATCCTATAAAAAGACGGACCTGTATTTTTAACAATTCAGGGCTTCTTCAACCACAGCTTCCTACACTTTCAGTTGATCACTTTTATGCTAAATTTGAAGCTGGGGCATATGAAGATTGTGTATCTTAAGAATGTAGGTACTGCATTATTTATTGGGGAAAAAATTAGCTGATCTTCAGTTTTGACTCTCAGGGTGAGGTACAGCATAAAATACAGTAAATACAATCAAATAACAAATTGCATCAGCAGTTTAAAAAATGTTTTGCAGTTTTCCACATGTTCGGAGACTTAGCTGCTGGTATCATGGACTGCAAAGCCTATGGTTGCTCATTCTGCAGTTGGCACGGATTAATAGTGACACATGTGTCACTACAGTAGGATGAAGTTGCAGGCACAGGCTGACCACTGGAGTTAGATGTGTGCTAGATGTAATCTACCTCCATCCCCTTCAAAAGTACCATGCAGATACAGAAAAGGAACTGAGGAATTCAAGAGAGAGAGCATGGCCCACTGTCTTTAAGGGTAGACCTCTACTTGAAAGACATTCCTTTAATAGCCAAGGGAAGGGTTTCTCCATATGCCTAACGCAGTGAAGGAATGTGAATGAAGCACTGTGTGTCTACCTCAAAATGTTTGCAGGTGCAAACAGTATGAAGGCAAGATCAGATATAACCACCCAGATACCATCACAAGCACAAATAATCGTGAATGCACAATAAAAAAGATGTCCAGAGGGATGCTTAAGTAGGAGAGCCAGTGTGGTGTAGTGCTTAAGAGCGGTAGTCTCGTAATCTGGGGAACCGGGTTCGCGTCTCCGCTCCTCCACATGCAGCTGCTGGGTGACCTTGGGCTAGTCACACTTCTCTGAAGTCTCTCAGCCCCACTCACCTCACAGAGTGTTTGTTGTGGGGGAGGAAGGGAAAGGAGAATGTTAGCCGCTTTGAGACTCCTTAAAGGGAGTGAAAGGCGGGATATCAAATCCAAACTCTTCTTCTTCTTCTTCTTCTTCTTAGATGGGAGGATAACACTTGTTCTGGAATGCTTCAATATAGGCTAGGGATTCCAAAATGAAGGCTGAATACTCACCAGTGTGTTACAGAATTTAAACCATGTATGTGTGTGAAGGTCTTCAATATGCCAGCAGTTAGTACTGAAGCAAACATCTGGCAGCCAGCCTTGCAGAACTTCACTGAGCATTAAGTAAGTGTGATTTATTTTTTCAAAATTTATCTTTTCATAATGTCTTTTGCCATAACATACTTCAAAAAAGTCCAAACTGTGGTATAATAAATCACTGATACAACTGGAATCGGAACACTTCTCAGACACAATACACTTTGACAAAACAATTCAGATCCCTTTTATTGTTATCTTTGCCACAATAAACCCCTCCCAAATAATGCTAGATCTTTGAGAGGTCTAATTGCAACTATGCCTTCATTCACACAGATTAAGAATAATAATAAATAATAATAAAATTTTATTTATATCCTGCCCTCCCCAGCCGAAGCCAAGCTCAGAGCGGCTAACAACAATAAAAGAAACACAATTTACATAAAATCCCAATCAATTAATTGAAATGCAATCTAAAATCAACTCATTCTAAAATCAATTCAAAATCAAATTAATGGCAACCATTGGGCTAGAGTTCTGTGAGGGTTAACAAAGGAGGGGGTCAGGCTGTGTCCTGGCCAAAGGCCTGGTGGAACAGCTCTGTCTTGCAGGCCCTGCGGAAAGATGTCAAGTCCCGCAGGGCCCTAGTCTCTTGTGACAGAGTGTTCCACCAGATCGGGGCCACGGCCAAAAAAGCCCTGGCTCTGGTTGAGGCCAGCCTAACCTCCCTGTGGCCCGGGATCTCCAATATGTTTTTATTTGAAGACCGTAAGGTCCTCCGTGGACCATAGCAGGAGAGGCGGTCTTGTAGGTAGGAGGGTCCTAGGCCGTATTAATGTGTGATTTGTTCAAACAACCCAACATTTGGGGAACCCACCATTTGGGGAAAGGCCTTCCCTTTCCTAAGAAACAACAGTTGGTGGGACACCCCATGCAGCCCATAATAACAATAGAATACTTGCTGATAAGACACACCACTAGTTAAACTGAGGAACAGAGGGAATTGCTAAGCAAAAAGAACAACAAAGTTCTGATTGTATGCATGGTTCTTTCCTCAGTGCAAAATTATTTCAGAGCTGCACAGTGGAATAGCACCCAACATAGCAGTGTTTGATAATGAAATTTACATGTTAAAACAACAATGCGATTTCCATATTTCTGCTACAATCCACGACCACTAGCTCTTGGCAGTTCTGCCCCTTTTGATGTCTGTCATAGCCACACCCCTATGGAGAGTCTAAAAATGTAGGCAGCTGTGTTAAGCCATATATATGCAAATACAAGCACCTTCCCACCCCTGGAAGAAAAGCAGCAGTACAGTGGTACCTCGGGTTACAGCCGCTTCAGGTTACAGAAGCTTCAGGTTACAGACTCTGCTAACCCGGAAGTAGTACCTCGGGTTAAGAACTTTACCTCAGGATAAGAACACAAATCTCGCGGCGGCGGCAACAAGAGGCCCCATTAGCTAAAGTGATACCTCAGATTAAGAACAGTTTCAGGTTAGGAACGGACCTCCACAACAAATTAAGTTCTTAACCCGAGGTACCACTGTACATAGAAAAACACCCAATTCATTGAGGTCTGCTGACAGTCATTGAACAGACACTAATAGGATAAATTCAACTCGCAAAACTCACTGAAATTTAACAAAAGATCTTCAGCCAGCTGAAATGCAGCCCTTAGTAGGAACCCCATAAAAGAAAAGGGGGGAAATATATCCAACCTTTCCTTATTTCCCTGACTTCCTGTATGCTAATCTATTGGAAATAATAGGAAAATGTGAAAGAACTCTTGAAGAAGCATAGTTGTACCACACTCAGTGCCAGATTTACGTATATAAGCGACTAGTGGGGTGCCACAGGGTTCTGTCTTGGGCCCGGTCTTATTCAACATCTTTATCAATGACTTGGATGATGGACTCAAGGGCATCCTGATCAAATTTGCAGATGACACCAAATTGGGAGGGGTGGCTAACACCCCAGAGGACAGGATCACACTTCAAAACGACCTTGACAGATTAGAGAACTGGGCCAAAACAAACAAGATGAATTTTAACAGGGAGAAATGTAAAGTATTGCACTTGGGCAAAAAAAATGAGAGGCACAAATACAAGATGGGGGACACCTGGCTTGAGAACAGTACATGTGAAAAGGATCTAGGTGTCTTGGTTGACCACAAACTTGACATGAGCCAACAGTGTGACGCGGCAGCTAAAAAAGCCAATGCAATTCTGGGCTGCATCAATAGGAGTATAGCATCTAGATCAAGGGAAGTAATAGTGCCACTGTATTCTGCTCTGGTCAGACCTCACCTGGAGTACTGTGTCCAGTTCTGGGCACCACAGTTCAAGAAGGACATTGGCAAACTGGAACGTGTCCAGAGGAGGGCAACCAAAATGGTAAAAGGCCTGGAAACGATGCCTTATGAGGAACGGCTAAGAGAGCTGGGCATGTTTAGCCTGGAGAAGAGGAGGTTAAGGGGTGATATGATAGCCATGTTCAAATATATAAAAGGATGTCACATAGAGGAGGGAGAAAGGTTGTTTTCTGCTGCTCCAGAGAAGCGGACACGGAGCAATGGATCCAAACTACAAGAAAGAAGATTCCACCTAAACATTAGGAAGAACTTCCTGACAGTAAGAGCTGTTCGACAGTGGAATTTGCTGCCAAGGAGTGTGGTGGAGTCTCCTTCTTTGGAGGTCTTTAAGCAGAGGCTTGACAACCATATGTCAGGAGTGCTCTGATGGTGTTTCCTGCTTGGCAGGGGGTTGGACTCGATGGCCCTTGTGGTCTCTTCCAACTCTATGATTCTATGATTCTATGATTCTATGATTCTAAGCTAAACAAGCTATAGTTTAGGGGCCCACTCTCTTGGGGGCCCAAAAAAAATTAAAGGGAAAAAACCCTGGGTGTACATTTCCAAAATACTGTATAAGATAAAAAACAAATAAAATAAAACCTACATACAGTTAGAGCTTAATAATTATTTCACTATTAATATCCTTCTTCTTAATTGTATTTCACTATTAATAGACTTCTTCTTAATTGCATTTCAAAAACAGTGACAAATTGTTGTTCCCAAAGGACAGCTGGACAGCTGGACATATAAAGGGCCCTATTACCTTCAGTAGCTTAGGGCCTCATCAAACCTAAATCCGGCCCTGACCACACTAGTTCTCTTTGCACTAAGTACTGTACTAAGGCTTGGCAGAACATTGTGTACCATGAAGCAAGAAAGAAATCCAAAGCATCTAATGTCTTTGAAAGCTAGGAGTATAACAAACCCTGTAATTTGCTAATCATATGGTGCTTGTTATGACGTTAAGTGCAAGGTGGTGTTAGTGTTGCCTGAGTGTGCTTTTAATGACATGTTTCCACACCTGAAAAGTTTTGTTTCTTTTTAAGATTTCCACGTGATGCAGTTTCCTGCAAGTTGCTTTTATAATAATTAGAATCTATACCTGTAGTATTTTGACTACTGCGTTACTGATCTAGCCTAAAATTATGTAAAAAGAACCTCTCCTACTTCTTAAAAATTAGGCAGTTATATTAACATTTACTTTTATGTTTAGTTTGCATACTAAACTGCGTGCTTCATGGCTTCAGGAAGGAATGTATTCTATTTGTGCTGGTGTCAGTCAAGATTGACAATCAGATGAAGGGAGTTTCATCAATTAACCGGTCCAAGTGAAGCCATTGTCCACTTTGCACCATTTCAAATTTGAAAACTTGCTGCTGAATAAATGTCAGTCCATGCCAATGCTCACTTAAACAGTTCTCCCAGAAGAGTCCTGGGAACGGTAGCTTTTTGAGGGTGCTGGGCATTACGTACACTACAGTTTCCAACACTCTTTGGGGGAAAGCCATGAGTGTTAAAAGTGGTAGAAATGTGCTTTAAAAATGTATGCTGTGAATAAGTATCTCAGTTTCTCCCACTCTTTTGCAAATAAGTGTTTCTGTCCTTTGCGGTTATTATGGAAAAGTGGTGGCTGCAGGGAACGGTGTGTTCGTCTTGTGCTTATTTTTCCTTTTTAAAAAAATCACAACATCAACAAAGCCGTTTCAAATCACTCCTCTGGCTTGTCACCAACCCGAGTTGCAAAAGTGGAAATGGTTCGCTCCGCCAGCATTACACCCCTCCCTCTGCCTCGCACAATGAATGGTATGGCCAAGAAGCGTGCCCGGGTGGCTGTTACTGCCGCCTCTCCATTGGTGGAAATGCAGACGCCCCTTTGCTGCGCTTCCGGATCTCCCCTCGCGCTTTAGGCCCGGAGGAGCTGCCGCGCGCGCGGGGTCTGCGCTGAGGATGGGGATCCCGGACGGGGCAGTGCAATGTCAAGCGCCCAAGGGATCGCCGAGGCCTGGTCTGGAGGGAATGGCGGAGGCAGCAGCCAAGCCCGGCCGCAGCAGCTTTACGGAAGGGAAACAGACGGTCACCCAGCAAGGGCGGTGTGTGGGTTGAGCTCCGACCTAGTAAGTATCTCTCGCTGGAAGGGACAGTCCGTTGTTTGGCACACACCTGGCCACCAGTTCAGTGCCGGATTTACGTATCAGCTAAACAAGCTATAGCTTAGGGCCCCACTCTCTTGGGGGGCCCCCCAAAATGGAAAAAACAACCAGGATGTACATTTCCAAAATATAAGACAAAAAACAAATAAAATAAAACCTACATACAGCAACCGTGTTTTGTGTTGTGTAGGCTCCTGTGATGTAAGTAATGGGCCCCCAATCATTTTAAGTTAGGGCTTAATAATTATTTCACTATTAATATGCTTCTTCTTAATTGCATTTCAGTTCAACAATTACTTTGATAAAATACGTATTCTGTTATGTGCAAATGGCTTTAGATACCTGTTAGGTCCATAAATTACCATATAGCATATATTCAACACAAAAAACAGCGACAATTTGTTGTTGACAAATGACAGCTGGACATATAAAGGGCCTCATCAAACCTAAATCCAGTCCTGCTTATGGCAGCCTTAAAATAATAAAATAAATAAGAAGTGGACTTTACAGCCCGATTCTAGCATTCCTCCCATAGCAGTCACAACTGGAATGCATCCTAAATATATTGATACATGCCACCCCAATTTCCAAGCATGGTAACTTATTTGGTTGTCCTGATTGTGGTGCTTAAATGGGTAGCCAAAATCTTTACCTTGTTACCGGAAAAATCCGAGGGCTCCCTTGGACAAAAAGTAAAGACACCAACCAGAGTAAATTGGAGCAAATCAGCAGCCTGTAGGCTTGGCCTTTATTGAACTGTTGCAACAGGGTGCTCCCCTCACTTGCAGGAGAGAGGAAAGACACAGAAAAATGGTGTGCAAGGCCTTATAAAAACTTTTGAAATTCCCATCCTGTAGATCAAGGCCACCCCCAGAAACATCATACATACATCACAGAAAGGAGGGGTTGAGGGAGGGGTGGTGGTGGTAACCTGAGTGTCCTGTCACCTGGCTGGTTCCCTTCTCCCCCTCCCCATGAGTCATTTTCAGAAGACAAAAGGTAGTCGCAGTTTCCTGCCCCCTGAGGGGGAATCCAATCACTGTTCTTTTGTTATAGTCCGTGTTGAATCCACTCGTGTATGCAGTGTTGATGGTCTTCTGTCTGAGACCATCAGGGTTGGCATAGCAACTGGGCAGGGCTCCTGTGTATGTACTGGTATGGTCAAGGATTATGGCTGCTGTGTATCAAACCTTCCCCATTTTGTAGTCCTTCCTTCATGGAGCAAAATAAAAGTGGAAATCCGATGTATGGTTGATTTTCAATGAATTTATAAAGAAGCATAGCGTATGTAGTGTGTCAGTAGTTTGTACAAACTAAATGATTGGGGGGGGGGGTTTCCTGCTACAACCTTAAAGATAAAGGAACTGGTTTGGCAAGCTTGCACAGATCCAGGATCTCAAGGATTAGAAGGGACTCGGGCCTCATCCAGACTGACCCCCCCAAAAAACTCCTATCAATATTAAAAAGAGGTGCATCTTCAGCATATAACAAAAGTTGTACAATAGGGGAGCCTCTGTGGGGAGGGTTTTTCAGTAACATGGCTACCTCCATGGCTACTACTTCAAGGGACCGAAGCTCTTTTCAAGTTTTGCCAAAAACATAGTGCATGTCTCCTGAAGTTCCACCTGCTTCTGTGATGGTGAAAAAATAGAGGCCTTGCAAAATAGGCGAGAGTAAGGTTGTGAAATGGGACCTTTAAAAAAATGAAAACAAATAGATTTAACTGTCATGGGTGTGTGAAGGTGACTGGTGCACTTACCTTAACAATACAGATGTAGCAGATGGTTGTGCTTTCCCATCCATTCCTTGGTCCTCTTGATCAATTCCTCCGGCAGTTAAAGCGTGCGGTTTTATTTTACCCCCTATTAGGTCTCAGGAGGTGTAGCAACAGGCACCCAGCCTCTTGCATTGCAAGTTTCTGTTGACCTACTAACATAAATTCTGCTACAGATTAACAGTCGTTTATCATTTATATCTGGCTGAGACAGAAGGTGCAAAGTACTTCACAGCATGCCCATTATTTAAATATGAATATTTGAATGCAGCTGCCACAGAGTGGAGCATAATTACAGCCTGGAAAGATTGTTGTTAAACAGGAGCAGAAATCCCCTAAGTGGGGAAAAGATTGTTTTCTTGTTCTCCCCCCCCCCCAAAAAAAAAAGTTGAACAGGCACAGCATTAATATTATCTCAAATGCTTTCATTCTTTCAGGCCTTCTCAGACGTAGTGCTAAATCACAAACTGAAATGACCCACGTTGCTCCAAATCTATTTATGCGATCTCAGCCTCGCCTGCTGTTGCCAGCTCTTTCAGCCTTATGGAATCAAAGACAAAACAGAAACTTTTTACTGCATTTTAGATATACATCTGATGTTGCTGCCGGAGAGAACAAGGCCACTGTACAAAGCCTCTATGAGCTATCTGTGGATATCAGGAAGATCCGTAGGCTAAAGCCATGGGTGCTCTCAAAAGAGGTGACGCACGTCAAGGAAACAGCTAAGATTTTGCAAGAAATGGGAGCCGACAAGAGTTCTGTGGCATATATTTTTGAACGTTGTCCTGAGGCAATTCTTTGTAGCCCTACAGATATCCATTATCAGAGAGAATTGTGGTTATCAGTCTGCCAAAATGAAAAACAACTAGTTGAATTAATAAAACGGTTCCCAGACTCCTTTTTTACAGTTAAAAACTATGAAAACCAGAAAGCCAATGTTAGGTTCTTCAAAGATCTGGGACTGAAAAATGCGGTTATCAGCCGGCTCCTAACAAGTGCATCAAATATTTTTTATAATCCTGTTGCAAAGAACAAGCATATGATAGAAACCCTACAAAGTAATTATATAAGGCTAGGAGGTTCACAGGAGAATATGAAGAACTGGATGATGAAATTACTGAGTCAAAACCCATTTATTTTGTTAAATTCTTCGGCTGCTGTTGAAGAAAATTTGGGTTTTTTTCAGAAGAACAAATTCACTGACTTTGAAGTTTTGAGTCTGCTATCCAAGCTGAAGGGCTTTGTTTTTCAACTTAACCCTAGTAGCATGCAGAATAGCCTGCTGTTCTCCAAGAACATCTTCAAATGCAGTGATCAAGAGTTAAAAGAGCTAATAATAAAATGCCCTGCCCTTCTCTACTACTCAGTTCCAGTTCTGGAAGAAAGACTGGAGGGGCTATTGAAGGTGGGAATTTCTGTGGACCAAATTAAACAAACACCTGCAGTGTTAGAACTGTCAGCAGAAATAGTGCAATATAGGATTAAAAAACTAGATGCCATAGGATACAGTCTAAAAGGCAGAACTCTAGAATACCTAAATGGGACAAAAAAGGATTTTGAAGTTACTTACGGAAAGATACAAGAAAAAAAGGAGAGGCCAATATTTAATCCAGTTGCTCCTTTAAACATTGAAGATTAATTTCTGGAATGTATTTAAGAATGCCACATGGGAGTTTGAGATGAAAGAGGTTGGGTGACTTTTTATACTTGGAGAACACTGAATGTAATTGATACTCAAAATGGATTTTTATTCACACCCTACTTCTTTCAGTTTAAATGAATTTTTTTAAACATGGAACTCAATGAGTAATGGGATTGCAAGTTTCTCCACCAAATTGGACACCATCTTATCAGAAACTTAACTTGAAGATGCTGCTGTTAACAGTGTTGCTGATACTGGGTGCAATATACTAACCAAAAGAAAGATAAACCCACCAGGTCATTCTGTACCAGTTTTCAGTAAGTTGACAAATAAAAGCTTTCAAAACAATGTCTTAAGGAAATAGCCCTGTAGTGTCACAGTTGCATAATTTTAACACCCTATTATTAGGATTGCCACACTCCTTAAGAGTGCTGGGAGTCTTGGATTCTAAGCACCCCTCTTCCTATCCATCAACCAGCCTGGGTTTTCACTTTTTTGAAAGCTTTATACCTAAGCACACAAAATAAGCAGGCACTCAGTACCAGAGAGAACTAAGTAAGCTTGGATCAGTGAGGATGCTTTTAAAATCAGCCACATCAATTCTGAACGTTACATTTCTTTTATCCCCAGTAGGACTAAGCATATGTAACCAGACAATACTGTGATCACAATACCTCATTTACAGTTTAAGACCCTCAGTGGAGGGTTGCCACCTTGAATGGCAATTAATTTCTACAGCATTTTAAGTCTAAATATTTCTCTGTTCTATCTCTTTGTTTCAGTCTGGCTACTCATTCTAAAAATAATATCCACATACAAACCAATTAAAAGTCAAACATCTGGAAGACACTCAGAATTTTTTTTACAAAGATCCTTAACAAAAAGGAACTGGATGTTTCTGCTTTAATAAATGCTTTTAGGAGTCTTTGTTAGAGAGTGGTTGAACAGCATGGAGCAGTAAACTGAAATTTTCCAATATCTGCAATCATGCTAGTCAAGGTATCCCAGATGAAGAGCTCCTTTTAAGCTCTCATATAGCCATGGCCTTCTTACAGTCTTTTGCTGTCTTAATTCAGCTCCTCGAAAAACACTTATTCAGAGAGTAGCGGTGATAAAATCATTATGTTGGGATGGTTTGGTGTATCACATTCTGGGTTTGAAGAATTCTGTTCTCTCACCCTTTACAAAAGTTTGATGTATAGAAATATTTTAAGTAAAATATTATGAAGCTGGCTTACCATTGTTCCAGCATTGTCTTCTCTGACTGGCAACAGCTCCCCCCATGGTCTTGAGTACAGATGTTTCCCAGCCTTGCTACATAATTTATTTTTTTAACGAGAGAAATCAGGGTTAAACCTGCAGGCAGAGCATGAGTTCTACCACTTAAGCTACTGTCCTTTCCCTTGGCAACTGAAATACAGATGGCAACAGCCGGGTCATTTATATCAGACTGTTTAATGCACAAAATTCTAGAAACTAGAATAAGTGATTTTTGACAAACAATGGCTTTTGGCTGTCAGCAAAACAAAACAAAAATGAAAAACATGAATCCACTGTTTAGAATTAGAATCAATGAAGCGCAGGTGCTTAGCTTTTTCTTGATTTTAACACATACATTTTAGGAAATGCAGCATACGGAATAGTCATGTGTACTTCAGCCATCTTTATACTACCAAAAACACTACAAAGTCAACAAGAACATGCTGAAGAGTTTCCAAATGAAATTTGCAGGGCATGAACCCCATTAACCCGCATTACAGTCCACTAATTTGAAGGCTACTTTGGAGTTAATAGATTATGAATTAGGAGCAAGAGAGCAAATGATAAATCTACATGTTGCTCAGGAAACCTTGAAAATGTATGTGTTAAATTAATTTCACCTAGTTATTTTTAATCACTTGGATTTTATCATTGCCAGTCTTCGGTGCTATTTTGTCGTCGTCCCGCCCCCCCCCCCCCCATTTTCAGCAAAACTACCTACTGAGCTGCCAATTCTAGGAAGGTCTGTGTTTTCATAGTGAAAATGGTATTGTCTAACCCATCAACCTGCACAGACTCTACTCATTTTCATCTGCAACACTGAAACAAATGATGCATAGCAGCAGCTGTTGTTGAATTCATGGCAGTGTTCAAGAAGCGGGTTTTAGAATCATTTGTATTGTTGGACTAGAAGCCACAAAAAGTGTTTTTATTCTAAGCTAGAAGTTATCCAGTAATGTATGGACTGTAAACTTGGACATACACTTCAGTTTAAACAAACTAACAGCACAAAGGAGTTTTCATTTTGAGGTGGGGGTTTGGAAACCAGCAAGTTACACCTGAGATTTAGCAGTCATCTCTTCAGTCAGTATGAACAGTGTTAAAAAAGTAAAGCTTCTTTCACAGACTGCATTGAAATGAGGGAAATTACAAAATCCTTCCAGTCACTAAGAAAAAATAGATTGTTTTTCACCGTAAGGCATGAATGATTAGATTGGTATACCACACAACTACATATATATAGAGGCGCACGCACACACATGCACACACAGAGTGAATGCAGTGACCATTCAGAGTTTATAGTGTGTATAAAAATAGTTTCAAAAAGCAAAGATATATGAAGACCCTTTAAGCAGTTCAATGATTCTTTATAAAAAAAAAATACAGACGCCATAGGCTTGCAGCTAGAACATCAATATATTTATGGTACTGTAGAAGTTACCAACTGAGGACATGATCTAGCCAATATTTAAAGCACTTTAATGTTCAACTGATACTAAAGGGGCAGGTAAGCACAGGCTTTAGCCCCTCCCATTGGACCAACAGGACTTCAAAGTGCTTCACCTTTTGCTAGGTCATTCCCTCCATTTTTATTTTCACATTTTTAGTTCAAGACTGCAAAAAAAAATCTACAGTGAATTAATATTCATATGTGAGCTACCCTTTCAGATCCATGTACTTGATTCCATGTTCATCAAGTGTAACATTTCACAGATGAGTGCTTGAAGAAATCTATCGTTTTAAATGAAATTCCAGACACGGGGGTATCACACGGCTCTTGTCCCTTTCAGGTGAAAGTCATTCACACAGCTCTTTATAGGAGTCTTAAGACCTGTGGCTTTGTAGCAGTCCATTTCTGCAGATTCCACAACCACAGAAGCAACTTCCTGGGCCTCAGTTTCTCTCTCTTTTAGTCAGACTTATCCTTCTTCTTCCCTGTTAAAGGCACTTTGCTTGTGATAGCAGATCCTACAGCTGTAACACCTCCTGTCACAGCAGAAACACTTCCTTTTACCAATCCTACTCCCATGGAAGGCACGGCTGTTACTGCTGTTTTGGTCATTTCTAGGCTTTTCCCTCCTATCCATGCTACACCACCAATTGTGGCACCAACAGCTCCCTTTGTTATGCTGAAGAGGCCACCAGTCACACGAGAAAGCATGCCGGGCTGCTGCTGTGGATGATCTTTTAATGAATCTGAGAAGGAGAGAGATAGTAAAATGTTCAAATCATATTTTAATGTTTTTAAGACAAACAATTGCAGATCCTTCTAACATGACATATACCACATGGACTAAAGCCATTGCAAGTTTTTTTTTGAAAGGATAACATTTTCAAAAAAGATATTAAAATATTTTGCGTAATTGTTAAACTTACACCACTTTTTCCTTTATCAAGCTGTTGTCTCTTTAGTTCAGTCTTGTAAATAAACTGGAGCAGTGCTTATTTGGGGGGGGGGGGAATAACACAAATTTCCAGAGTCTCAGAACCTTTCAGGAGCACATGGAAGATTCTGTCTAACCCAAACCTACTTTTACAAATGGCCTCGTCCTTGATTTCCTCTCTAAGGAATCCTGCAACCTTTGGTTATGATTTGCTTGCATATTGTGTATGCTTTGGGAAGAACTAGGGTTTAACCATTTTCATAATTCTCTTTGGAAAAGAAAGGTTTTGACCTGCCTTTCAAAATATGGTAAGGAAGGAACATTCCCTCAGATAATCAGGAGCCAGGATGTTTCCTCATTTTTAATGCCTCAATGTCATTTCCAGGCTTCCAGATGTGCATGCCAGTTCCCCACTGGGAAGTAGTGCATATAAAACAGGGATGGCCAAACATGGCCCTCTAGCTGTTTTGTGACTACAACTCCCATCACCCCCTAGCTAACAGGACCAGTGGTCAGGGTTGATGGGAATTGTAGTCCCAAAACAGCTAGAGGGCCACATTTGACCTTAAAAGATCTACTCTGTGTATGGTTAATGTTGGATACACCCCCTAAGCACCAAACTCTGCATTCCATGTTAGAAAAGAATAGGCTAGAATCCTGTACACACTTACTTGGGAGTAAATTCCACTGAACTCAATGGGACTTGCTTCTGAATAGCTCTGAATTAACACCATTTTTTTCTTGTTTTACCAGACTTAAACAGGTTCAGAGCAATTGAATAATAGGGTGCTTCCAGACATAACATTTTGTAGATTACTGGCTCTCCAGAGCACCCACAAGTCTCACTTCTACTGTCAGCTCCCATGCTGATAGCTGCTTGTCCGTGTAGTACAGAGAACACAGCTGCCATCATGCCAACACAATGACGGTAAGCTCTAAAATAATCACTAAGAAATGAGAGATACTTCTTTCCACACCCTTGTTAGATGATGATGATGATGATGATAGGCATTACTCAACTGTTGCTACTGAGAGTGACTCAAGTCAAAGTATGTTCAGAAACTGCACAGTCCACTATTAACAACCACTTAAACCTGATTGTGTATCTAAGTACTGCAGAGGAGACAGGAGAAAGCCTAACAGTGGTTGACAGATCAGTGAGGTGGTCACTCATTTCAGAAGCCTGTGAATTTCAGTTTTTATAAGATTAGCTCTCTATGTGAAAAGTGTCATAAGTTATCTGAATTTCTGAACCACATGCTATGAAGCACACAAGTCCATGAAATAAAATGGAATTGACCACTGTGAAACTCATGCCTATTGGATAAGACAAACTATGCAAGAAATAAGTTCCTAAATTTCATTTAAACCAATAAGCTGGTAATAGCAAGACATACGCAGCCTAAAATAGAAATTCAGGAACATAAGCGAAACCAATAGGCCAAGGTATGCAAGAAATAAAACAGGATTTATTGGCATATAAGCATGTACAGCTTCTGTGCTGTCCTATACGCTAACAGCAACTCATTCTCTGAATGTGGATCCTTATGCAGCCAAAACAACACCATCCATACATAGCAGGGAGAAATCAGCAGTGTTTTGGGAAACAAAGGTTTGCAGAATTTACCAAAAAGCATATGCCGGGGAAGATAAGATGCTAAGAGTTGGACCTGGTTGTTAAAAACCCAATGCCTCCTCAGCTGTGAAGCACACTGTGGAGGCATGGGCAAACACAATTTTAAACTAATCAAAAAAAAAATTTTTTTTTTTGTGATTTTCTATGCAGAGTCAGCTATAGTCTTGAAATTGAAATACAGTGGTACCTCGGGTTACATACACTTCAGGTTACAGACTCCGCTAACCCAGAAATAGTACCTCGGGTTAAGAACTTTGCTTCAGGATGAGAACAGAAATCGTGCTCCGGTGGCGCGGCAGCAGCGGGAGGCCCCATTAGCTAAAGTGGTGCTTCAGGTTAAGAACAGTTTCAGGTTAAGTAGGGACCTCCGGAACGAATTAAGTACTTAACCCGAGGTACCACTGTAAGTTCATAAGAGGGAAACTTATTCACAATTTAGTAAATAACTGATTAATAATGAATAGATGGACTACATTTCAGCCCCCACATTGCATCGCTCGGCTCCTCAGCACTAAGAGCAATCATTTTCTAAAGTAGGCTTGATGAAATCCTTCAAGCACTGTAACGTACGAATATTTCTTCTTCCTTTTTACAAGTTCACTCAGAAGTAAGTCTCACTGGATTCAATGGCACTTACACCCGGGAACACAGGGACAAACAGGTTTGTAGCCGAAACCTTAAAGCTGACAGAACCATGGTAAACTTGTTATTGAAATTTACCTTCTGGTGGCTCCTCATTAAGATATGCAGGAACATCTTGTTCATTTCTGTCTGTTTGGTTCATTATTGCCTGTGGGAGAAAAACAACAACCCAGTTCTCATTTGCAATATAGGCACAAGTCAATCTTTCCCTCATCTCCCTTTAAAATAGGAAAGATCATGTACAGCCTAATCCTAATACTTGCTACAACAGCCAGTTGGGTTGCACCAACTGCCATGCCAATCCAATATAATGACATTATATGAGTGCTACAATCCGATGTTCCAAGAGCCAGCAATGGCAGTTTTCACATTGTGCTAAGTTAAGCACAAACCTGCCAATCCAGCTTGCATTGGTTTAAAAAACATCACTGAATGGAATAAAGAATAATACATGATATACTGAATCAGTATAAAAAAAGCTACCACGGGCAGCCATTCAAAGAGCACAAAACTGCAAGAATAGCTCCATACTTGAGGAACAGGCAACTTTGTCTCACTTTCTAACAACAGTACTTTACTGTCAAGAATTATACAGTGGTGCCTCGCAAGACGAAATTAATCCGTTCCGCAAGTATCTTCGTCTAGCGGTTTTTTCGTCTTGCGAAGCAACCCTATTAGCGGCTTAGCGGATTAGCGCTATTAGCGGTTTAGCGGCTTAGCGGCTAAAAGGCTATTAGCGGCTTAGTGGCTTAGAAAAAGGGGGGGAAAGCGGAAAAAAATCTCAAGACTCGCAAGACATTTTCATCTTGTGAAGCAAGCCCATAGGGAAAATCATCCTGCGAAGCACACTGAAAAACGGAAAACCCTTTCGTCTAGCGGGTTTTCCGTCTTGCGAGGCATTCGTCTTGCGGGGCACCACTGTACTGCACAAATTATACTTCACAAATTGAAGAGTCAGCCTTCCTTACTACAGATTTAGGCAATACAGTAGTACCTCAGGTTACAGATGCTTCAGGTTACAGACCCCACTAACCCAGAAATAGTACCTCGGGTTAAGAACTTTGCTTCAGGATGAGAACAGAAATCGCACAGAGGCGGCACAGCAGCAGTGGGAGGCCCCATTAGCTAAAGTGGTGCTTCAGGTTAAGAACAGTTTCAGGTTAAGAACGGACCTCCAGAACGAAATAATATCTTAACCCGAGGTACCACTGTATTCATTCAGACAAGTCTATCTCAAACCCAGATATTGGCACCCTATTCAAGATCTCCTGTTCAGCAAGCTGGTTTTTTTAGTTCACAGAGAAAGGTTCTACCATACATGAATCATCTCCCATCAGTTGCTTCAGGCATCTTGTAATGATAAAACTTTTTTGCTTAGTCTTTCCCTGACCAATAATATTGGGTCTTAACTAGAGTTTTGCATTTATGATACTATTTTACTGGGGTTTTTTGTGTATTTTTGTTCACTTGGCGATTAAAAATTTTAAACGGTTTGGAAATGCTTTTAAATAAATAAATAAGTGTTTCCCTACGACTTAACAAAAATGATGTAAGAATTATGCTGAGAACAGGTTTCTCCTCAGCAAGAAAATCCAGTGGGTAGCCACATTGGCAGGGATCCTCAAATATGGTTATCGGGGCAACAATCAATTTGGTTTGAGCAGTCAAGAATTGAAAACATCTGGTAAACTCCACCCTAGAAATGGCAAGCTTTCAAAACAAAACAAAAAACACCCCAGAACAAAACACATTGGCAGCCACTGGAGGCAAAGTGCATGTTTTCCAAATAGGTAATAGGCTGCCCTGTGCTTGAACATATCTTCAGGGTCATGGGTTTGAGGGAAAGGGTTTCCTATACACACAGCTCCTGCTACTCTTCCCCTGTAAAGTCCACTCAGAAGGCAGTGGGTACAAAAGGGACACAGGAGACAGTCTTGCTGGCAACCAAATACAATGAATGTTACCAAGCCCAGCAAAAGTTATGGACTCCTGGATGCTAGCAGAACCTCACAGTTCTTAATTCCAACCATTTATATAGTTTTTCAATAAACAGGGAAGAGTTGAGGTTGCATGGATATTGAACAATTAGAAAATGCAAAAACAAAAGAAGTTTATTTAGTGGCATGCCATTGTAGTAGATTACATTGCAACCCTTTAAAAAATGCTGAACTAATGAATGAACTGACTTTTGGACTTTGATGGGCTATTAATATTAAAATCACCAGGACAAGCTCATTCTCAAGTGCAAATATTTATCAACTGCTGATGAAATGAGATCCTGTGAATATATAACATTCCTGCTCAGATGTCTGCGCCAGATGCAGATTTGTTACCGGACCAAGTTGTTAACAGCTTAGTAGCAGTTTACTCAAAGGATGACCTTACCCAATACCTGCCCATTCAACCACTCTGATCTGTGGAATAATATACATTCTGCACTTGTAAGGAAAAAATATTTTGGCATGGCAACTCCCATACTCTGAAATTTCCTTCCCACTGACATTAGGCAGGTGCTGTATTCCTTTCAGAACCTACTAAAAACCTTTTTGTTAGTTGAGCCTACCCAGACATGTATTTTAATCTGTAATTTTAACTTATAATGTATATTTTTAACTGAGGGTTTTAGTCATATTTTGATTTTTTAACTTTGATTTTTATTGACAATTTTAACAAATAAATATTATTAGAGGTTTTATTTACAATTACCGGTAAGTGGTATATAAATTTTGTTGACTTTAATTAATTAAAAGGGACACATTTTAAGTTATCTAGTTTTTAAATGGCTACTTGTTATTTTAATGTGAAACATACAGTTAAATGTGTGAGAGAGAGATCAGAACTATACCATGATGCTAAATATATCTGCTAAGACAAGTTCTGCGGAAGTCAGTAGGTCTTAATTCCAATTAAGTAAGTTTAAAATAAAGGTGTCAGACGCCTCCCCCTCATACCATACAAGGTTACCAGTCGGAAGCATTTAAAAGGAAGGCAGCCAAGTAATACCATCTAACAGAGTTAGTTCAATAATGCCATGCAGGACATGTTGCCTTATTAATTTCCCAGTCCTTAATTAGGGTCAATGAGATCAGATACAGTTTTGCCAAGAGATGTGGTATTAACACTACTGTACTGGCCACATTCTAGCCACATATCTCTTACAGTTTTAATTGGATAAAGCATTAATCTCTATTTCCTGTCTTTAGAATACAGTACAGTGGTACCTCGGGTTAAGTACTTAATTCGTTCTGGAGGTCCGTTCTTAACCTGAAACTTCTTAACCTGAAGCACCACTTTAGCTAATGGGGCCTCCCGCTGCTGCCGCGCCGCCAAAGCACGATTTCAGTTCTCATCCTGAAGCAAAGTTCTTAACCCGAGGTACTATTTCTGGGTTAGCGGAGTCTGTAATCTGAAGGGTATGTAACCTGAAGCGTATGTAAACCCGAGGTACCACTGTAGTATTAAAAAGCTTCTTTGAAAGCTGCTATTTTGGAAGTAGCACACATTTTAGAAGTGTACATATTCAGTGCTGAATAACAGGGTTTATTATTCTCATCGTATCTGTAATTCACTTCCCAAAATCAATGACGAATTTTTATCATTTAAGCAGAACTGAATATTCCGTTTTAGGCTTTTAGAAGAAATGCAGTACAAAAATAATTAAATTAGCAAAATTAAGCCGCTAACACGTAGATAAGTGTCAAGTACACTACGTTTGTTTAAGAAGCATTATGCAGCACTAGAATTAAACAAGTAGTATTAAATATAAATATTTTACACCACATATAATGTACATACCTATTTAACGCCTTGCTGTGTAGCTTCAAGATGACCAGCACAAGTTCTCTCCTTGTTTCCCCTTATTATTAAACAGCAGTCTACAATTATAAACACTGGTCAAATAAACAGAAACAAAAACAGCATGTATCCAGTGAGATTAATAATATAAGAAATTTCCAGAAGTAAAAGAAAGGTTGGTGTGTCCTTATAAAAAAAATGTCCAAGACATTCTTTTTCAAGTGAGGCAACACTTCACTGGCTAATCTTTAAATCGTATATGTTTAACAAACAGGTATCCATATCTTTGAGAACCACCCAAAGGAGGAAGACAAGAATTTTAATGGATGATACACATAAATATGTGTGCCCTTGCTGTTATTATGCAACTTCAGATTTCAACTGAAATGACAGGTGCTAAACTGTAAAAAAAACACACACAATTTTTTTTGTAGATTGATACTTATTCTGGGGGTGCCAAATGAACCATATACTAAAAGAGTCAAGGCTCCTGCAATCATCCAAGTTTCTATCAGTGTATAGGCACAAGGTGGAAGGTTGCACCAAAAGCTTAAAATATAAACATTTTGGAGCTGCTGCACATGTGTCCTTCATGGCCCTTCCTGTGTAGAAAGCTGCATGTTGCCTATCTACACATCACCATATGCAACAAATGTGCATAAGCCCATTTTGTCAGGGAACTCTGCCATCTACTGGGATTTTCACCATAAGTAGATGTGTGTCCATCCATCATGTTTGATAGTATAAAAGCAGATTAATGGCATTTCTGACATGAAGTGGTATCCCATACAAAATCTGTCTCTCAGTTATTTTACTGAAAACAATTTCCACAATATCGATATAGTAAAAGTGTGTAAATAGGTCCTCCGTTTGTATAGTGTATAGGCTAAGAGCCCAAGCTGTGAGCCAGAGAGTTCCTGGTTCAAATCTTGCCTCTGCCATGACAAAAGGTCTGGGGTGGGGAATCTGCAGCCGTCCAGATGTTAGAATCCACTCTCCCGTGAGCCCTGCCAGTGTAGCCAATGATGGGAGTTGGGAGTTGTAGTCCAGCAACATCTGGAGAGCCTCATCCCTACACCAGATGCAACCTGAGGCAAGCCACCCTCAGTTCCTTTCCCCATCCACAGTATATGGTTTATACAACAACCATGTAAAACAAGTGAGCAAACTGGCCAGATTATTGTTTTATGAGCGATTTTTCAGTATCTTAAATGTTTGCAGTAGGGTACTTTTCTTCATATTTACAGGTAAGGTGAACACAACAACATGCATAGCAAACTATTTTGACCGGGTTAATTAGTAGAGTATTCCGAAATAAATTAAGAAATCAGGATTGATGTATTATCACTACACTGCAAACTGCCTCCCTGCAAATATTCAGCTAAATACAAGACCATATTCTACACGAAAATGCATAACATTAATTCTATGTCAAAGTTTGGAATGGACTTGCACCTTTATGAACATTCCCTGCCTTTGCCTTCCTCCCTCGACTTCCCACACAGCTTTACTCTTCTGCCTTTGCAGTTTCCTATACTGATGGGATATTATCCAACAGCTGAGAGAAGTGCACATTTGCAACCTTGCAGCAGGCCATTTTTTGGGGGCTGGTGGTGGCAAATGCAGAAGCAAGGTCAGAATCACCCCTGTCTCCAATGCTTTTCTGCAAAGTTAGGTGGCATCTGTCATTGGCAAATACTCTCTTAATCCCCTCTGCCCCCATTTAGGTTTCTCAGTGTCTCCTTACGGTAGACCTACAATTACATAAATCTAAATAGATATAGAAACCAAGACTTACCAACTGTTTCTGTATTCAAAAGTCCTACTGTGGTTTCCTATATGAAAACCTAGGAAAGTAACATGCTTATTAACATTTATATACTGTACAATAGACTTCTCAGAATGTCAATTAAATCTCAGCTGCAACACACAATGGCCTGAAGAAATGCAAGTTATTTATGTGGTTTTTAAAGAATTATAATTAATGCAAAGCTTTGAACATCTAAGAAAGGCGACTCAGGATGCCTCAGAGCAAGTTTTCCATTTAGCCATAATTTAAAATGTACTGTTTTAATAAACGAGTTCCTACACTCTATCTCTGTGGGCATCTATCAAGCTGCTTAACTATGAGGAAGCACAGGCAGTTCAGTTAGTAGTACTCAGCCTCCCCACATGCCTGGAAAATCAAGAGAAAAGGGAGGTTGTATAACCATTGAAGTGTATTATGTACTTTAGTGTCCCAGAAAAGAAGGAATGGAAGAAAAGCAAATGGGGGGGGGGAGAGAACTGTGGTTTTCCCGTCACTTCCGTTGTCACAAAAAGTTGAATAAGTGGGATTGTTAGGCAAGAAAGTCAAATCAACTATAATTGTGCAACCTGAATGTTATGTGACTGAATCGCACCTGAAAATAGCAACTGTCTAGAAGAATGTGGTTTAGCAATTATTGCTAACTGGAGAATCTGCTGGCCAAATCACCACCACCTCAATTCTCCACTGAATTCTACCCAAACAAATTACATGTATTATTAAAAATTTCCATAGTTCTACTCACTTCCCCCCAAAGAAACACTTTGGCTAATAGTTACTCAGACTTTATAATAAAGCACTGTGTGGGGTGTTGAGCAACAGAATGCACTTCCAGCCGCTCTATATCCCACACCCTTCTGGAGAATAAAGCTTATCTATTCTGGGTTTAGAACAGCAAAAGCTGAAGTAAGCATCTCCTAGTGGTGCAGACATATACAGTGGTACCCCGCAAGACGAACGCCTCGCAAGACGGAAAACCCGCTAGACGAAAGGGTTTTCCGTTTTGGAGGCGCTTCAGAAGCGAATTTCCTATGGGCTTGCTTCGCAAGACGACAGCCCATAGGAAATCTCAGGGACAGCGGGGAAGCGCAGCGCGTCTTCCCCACTGTCCTCGGACCTCCTCCGAAGCCTGGCGGCGGGGCGGGACACCTCCTCCCGCCGCCGCCGGGCTCGGAAGGCTCCTCCGAGCCGGGCGGGGAGGGAACACCTGCCGCCGCCGCCCGGCTTCGGGAACGGTGCTCCGAGCCGGGCGGGGGAGGGAGACCTCCTCGCCGCCCGGCTCGGAACGGTGCTCCGGCCGGGCGGTGGGGAGGGAAGACCTCTCGCCGCCCGGCTCGGAACGGTGCTCCGGCCGGGCGGTGGGAGGGAAGACCCGCCGCCGCCCGGCTCGGAACGGTGCTCCGGCCGGGCGGGGGAGGGAACACCTCCCGCCGCCGCCCGGCTCGGAACGGTGCCCGAGCCGGGCGGGGGAGGGAAGACCTCCTCGCCGCCCGGCTTCGGAACGGTGCCCGGGCCGGGCGGGGGAGGGAAGACCTCTCCGCCGCCCGGCCTCGGAACGGTGCTCCGGCCGGGCGGGGGAGGGAAGACCTCCCCGCCGCCCGGCTCGGAACGGTGCCCGGGCCGGGCGGGGGGAGGGAACACCTCCGCCGCCGCCCGGCTTCAGAACGGTGCCCGGGCCGGGCGGGGGAGGGAAGACCTCCGCCGCCGCCCGGCTCGGAACGGTGCTCCGGGCCGGGCGGGGGGAGGGAAGACCTTCTGAAGGCGGGCGGGGGCGAAGTCTTTGCTCCCCTGCCTGCCTGTCCCGGAGGGCTTTGAAGGCGGGGAGCAAGACTTCGCCCCGCCGCCTTCAGAAGAGGTCCAGGACCTCTTCTGAAGGCTGGCGGGGGCAAAGTCTTTGTCCCCTCTGCCTGCCTTCCCAGGGGCTTTAATTGCCCCGGACAGCGGAGAAGTCCTCCGCTGTCCCGGGTGATTTTAAAATGCCGCCCGCCAGCATTTTAAGATCGCCCGGACAGCGGAGAAGTCCTCCGCTGTCCCGGGTTTTTAAAATGCTGGGGTGGGAAGAAAAGCCCTTGCTCCCCCCAGCCTTCAGAAGAGGTCCGGGGACAGACTGTCCCCGGACCTGGTCTGAAGGCGGTTTCCCTAGGAACGCATTAATTGATTTTCAATGCATTCCTATGGGAAACCGTGCATCGCAAGACGAAAAACTCGCAAGACGAAGAGACTTGCGGAACGAATTAATTTCGTCTTGCGAGGCACCACTGTAATTGCTAGCACACTTGCAAACTAAGCAGGGTCCAGTATGGTTTCAAACTGGATGAAGGATTGTGTGTTGAGATTCTTGCATTGCAGGGGTTGGGTTAGCTGACCCTCAGGGTGCAACCCGACTCTACAATTCTATGATTCTAAGGGCATTATCTAGATAGTGAGATAATCATAGAGTAAGATGTGGTATTGTAGGCTATCTAGTCCAAATACCTGCTTCATGCAGGAAATCCACCATCAGAGAATCCTTAGCAAATGGCTGTCTAGAGGGCTTGAATAGTTCCAAAGAAAGGGAGTCCATCATGTTTCTGAGTAATTTGTTTCATTGTGAAACCACTCTTAACACCATTAAGTTTCCTCTAATTTTCCACCAAAATCTACCTTCCAGTAACTTAAGCCAATTAGAGCTTGTGCTACGCTGTCCCTGAAGGCAGGTCAAATCTTTGTTTTCCAGTCTATGGGACAGCCCTTCAGATATTTGAAGATCATGTCCCCTATCAATCTTCTCTAGGTCTGGGACTCGCACAAACGGAGCCTTGCATGAATGGTCAGACAGTTTAATAAGCCTGGCCAGGCATTTAGCACTAAAGGTTTATGGAGCAGAAACTTTCAGGAATAGCATTAGGTACATCAAGTCAAAGGAGTCTTGGGAGAGAAAGAAGCAGAAAAACAAGCTGAGAACAGGCCTGTAAATGGCAGATTGGGAGCATTACTACTTTCTGCTGCAAAAAGCTTTAAATGGGAACCCTGAAGACACAAGGAAAAAAATCACGGATCTATATCACAGCAGTGACGTGGCAGGAGAGAGAGAGAGATGTAACCTGGAACCATGCAGCTGTTGACGTGCTGCTGCCTGGATTCTTTTGCCCGCCCTCTAAAGGGCTCTTCCACGTTGAACACGGTGCTCCTTTCTAATAGAGAAGGTGCTCAAAGTCTCCTGCCAGAACAGCACTGGCAGGAAACCCCCGCCTTCTCTCCCCCTGCCACAACCAACGCATCACCACCCCCTCCTCCATTTACAGATTCTCATGCCATCTGCACTCAGAAGCAAATTCTACTGTGAATTAATGCCTTTCCTCAAATCCCCCTCCCCCAGCGCTCCATTCAAGCTGTAAACAGAACTGCACAAACAGGCTCTCTAGGGAAGGCTGGTGGACATCATATATGGCAAATGTCTATAAGCAAAGACAAGCTTGGGAGCTTCTGATACTTGCACAGATTCCCCTCTCACACAAAACGCATCACAAGTTCTCCTGCTCCACGACGACCTACATCTGGCCATTTTAGGAGGTCAGCTTTTAAGGCTGCTGCTATTCCGTGCACGCTTACCTGGGGAGTCAGCTCCACTGAACACAGCGGGACTTAATTCGGAGAAAACACGGTTTTGGAGGGTGGGGGGCTGCCCTGTAAACCGTTTATCCAGAGCAGGAAAGAAGAGCAACCGTTCCAAGGCAAAAACTCAACTGCATTTGTTTATTTTGGAACGAAACGGACATTCTTTTATTTTCCAGACTGCTCCTCCGAGGCCCCCCCCCCGTTTTCCTCGCGTACCCCGAAAAGCTGTAGTTTTGGGAGCAGAGGAAAAGAGGGCGTCCTTATTCAAAGCTGGTTCCCTCTGGCCATTTGTCTACACCCTGCCATTCAGTTTCGAGCTCCCCTCCCAAAGCCACCCTTGGGGGGTGTCATTCTGTGCCCCCCATTTCCCTCCTGCCTTGTCCCCCCTTCCCCAGAGTCCACGGGTGGAGGGCGACGGGAGACCCCTTAAGGGTAGGGCGAGGTGGAGGGGGTCGCGCCCCTCTTTTCTCCCATAGAGGGGGGGGGGAGATGCTTTTGCCCAGCCCTCCTCGCCTCCCTCTTTCCGCGGCTGACTAGGCCGCGTCTCGGGCTCACCTCCGTCCTGCCAGCTCGGGGCTCCGCCTGGCCGAGGGATCTTCCGCTCGCCCCTCTCCTCTCCGGCGGCGGCAGCAGCAGCAGCTTCTTCCCCCACCGCGGAGCGAACTCGGGCTCCCCTCGCGTTGCTGTGGAAGCTGCTCCTTCGGCGCCTGCCGACGTGGCGACCTACGCACCTCGCCCTGTCTCCGCCCGGAGAACCCGCCCCGGGCCGGCCCCCAGCGCCCCCCGCCGCTCGGAGGGGCGCGCAGGCGCTTCAGCCTAGGCCCAGGCCCGTCTACACGGGCGCTTCGCTCCCCCACCGGCGCCTCCTCGGCGACCGCTGATGCTGAGGAACCAAATATGAGGAGGGATGAAAGGGACAGCAGCCATAGATAGATATAGATATACCGTATACGTTTTATGTTCACACATACACACCTTTCCCCCATCTCCCAATTTTCCCGTCACTAAGGACGGGGTTATGTGTCCAAAAGTCAGCATTTGCATGGCTAATTATTACAGTTGCCAACATTTCTTTCCTCAAGATAGCGACCCTGTGCCTTTCAGGCAGAAATGCAAGAGAGGCAAAGGCTTTTCTGCCAGAAGGGGCTACCACAGGGAAAACAACACCTGTCAGTGAAAAAAGCAAAACAAAGAAAGAGGTGGCATTGCTGCTACCCGCTCACATGCATGGGGTTCTTGCCAGCAGTTGTCAGCTGGGTTTGGAAATAAGGAGACTATGCCCTAGGCATAGTCAGATCCCGAAAGGTTGGCTCGACCCAATGGCTTCTGTGCAGGTACAACCTATCTGAGTCATGAGCGCAGGAATTCCAGCAGCCGTGCCAAAATCCACAACAATATGTGCACAAAGTCCCAATAACGGAAGCGCAGTTGGCAGCCTGTCCCAGGCTTCTAATGGCTAATTATTGTGGTGCCTTGTTTGTGCTCAGCAGCCGCTGATTTCTTTCTCCCAGGATGCTTGAGCAATTACTCATTTCAGGGACTGATGAAATGGCAATTGTATATTTTGCATCATGTACACAGCAGCGTAGACAGGTGTACACTTTGCCATATTCAGATACCACAAAAGGAAAATGTTGCTGGCCTTGGAGAAAAAAATCCATAATCTTTAAACTATAATTTTCATTCACAAGCCTCTCTAGAAAGCAAGAGACATGTCAATTGATAATGTGTCCTCAGATATCAGAATAACATATATGAGCTAGGTAACAGGGGAAAGCTATGGTTGAAGGCTGTCCCCTTACATGGTTGCAGGGGACCATAGCTCAGCGGCATACTTTGCATACAGAAGGTCCCGAGTTCAATTCCTGACATCTCCTGTTAAAAGGATCAGAGGGCAGGTGATGGGAAAGCCTGTTCTCTGCCTGTGATCCTGAAAAGCCACTGCTAGAGTAGGTGTATGGGGTGTTAGTATCTCTGGTGTCATGCTCCTTCTGGGGTAGTTTGTCCACCTGGGGTTCCTAGAAGTTGTCAGCATGTAACAGCAGCCACACCTTGGGAACAGCTTTTACTGGCCAGCTAAACCAGGTGAGGTTAGCCGATGGCATGGGCAGGGGGGCAACTGTCCCCCTAGATCAAGTAAAACAATAGAAATACTTAACTAACTGAACAATCACATTGGTCCTGCCCCCCCCAACAAAAAAGCTGGCTATGCCCATGGTCGATGGGTCTCAAACCCTCAGTGAGTGATGTCACGGCTAAAATGGCCGCTGTTTCTTTAATGCGAATAAAGCTGGGTAAGCATGATTCAGCGGCTTGCAGCAGGTTGTATATATAGAGTGAGAAATTTTAGTTTGCTGAGGCTGGGGTTGGTTGGTTGGTTGGTTGGTTAGTGTTGGTGTGTTCAGTCGCTTTTGCACAAAGACTTTTAAGAATAAAACTCTGCAAGGATATTCTCGTGGACTCTTTTGTGCCGACAAGGGTCCGAGGACCAGGCTGAGGAGACAAAGGGAGGTCAGAACCCTTTCCTTCTTTTCTTTTTTTTGCTTTCTACAAACACTGACAAGTTAGGGATTTGCCCTGCATGCGAAGGCAGGCTCTGGTAGATTGAGTGGACAAATATTGTCAAGAAGGTGGTTTCTGCATGTGCTGTAGCAGAAAGTGAGGGGCAGATGAGGTTTGTCAACCTGAGAAGGTAGCCCATCTAGGAAAGGAAAACTGTGATCCTAAACCCCTGCTGTCTTGTGAGATATCTCTGGGAGAAGAAAAGGCTAAGGAGTAAACCCTACATAAATCTGGAGGGCATTCCTAAGATGGCTCACTGGTGCCTTGTACACCTCCTTCTGGCAACTCCTGCAGCCAAGCTGGTGCCAAACATAATTGCTCAGCTTTCCTTGTTGTCTGGGCAGCCCAGGACCTCCATACACACTGTTGAGGCTTGTGCCCTGGGGAGTTCACTTCAGTTCTGCTAACAGTTAAAGTGGTTTGACTTCACCCCTGGAAGTGAGACAGGTGGATGCCAGCAACAACAACAACAACAACACTCCATTAAAGTGAAAGCGTGTGACAGATATATTTTCGTTGTGACACCCAGATTTTAGTACTCTTCCTTGAGAAGCTCAGATGGCCCCTTCTTTGGCATTTTGACGCATAATTAAACATATTTTTCCTTTGGGCCTTTGGTCTGAGTAACTGAACACTTTAGACCCTGTCTCTTAATATTCAAAACTTTTTATGCTGTTCCATTTTTGTATTTCATTATTTCTTCTTTGACTCAGTGCATTGTTTTTATCATAATCCATTTGTTTCTTTCCAAATTGTTGCTAGTCACTTTTGCCTAAAAAAACTTGATGCAGCAGAAAAAAATGATTGTATCCCGCACTTCTGTTTGAACTCCCCTTGCCCCCTACAGCCTCCTGTGCACCCTCAAAATCTGCCCCAGAGGGCTGGAGGACCACCCGGTGCTGATTTTAGGAATGCTTGGGGATGGGGAGGAAGGGGAAGTCCCATTACACAAATGGAACTTTGCTCCTTTAGTGTTTGTTTATATTATTTAAGGCACTTATATACTGCTTCATCATGAGTGTTTCTAAAACAGTGTATATAAAGTGGTTTACAGTGTTGGACACATCCCAGAGTAAGGAACAAAACAAAAACAGCCCTAAAGATTGGCAGATTACTTTAAAAAAAATCTGAGCAGGGAAAAATAGTACTGTAAAAGTAAAAAAATGCAGCAAAACAGCATATATTACTCTGAGTGAAAGGCAGTAAATCTCTCTTAGGCAATAGCTGGTGAAGCATACAGGGGGGGGGAGATAAACAATGGAGGCCTTGCCTTCATTCATGGCCTGCTTGTGGACTTCATGGAGGCATCTGGTTGGCCACTGTGGGAAAGAGGATTCTGGACGCATCATCATAGAGTTTTATTCATATGTGCATTTAATAGATCCATCCTCAGTTAACTAAAAGCCAAATCTTGGCTAACAGATTTTTCAGTGCCAAATTTTAGATGGGTTCTCGGCAAGTTTCTGCTCTCAGTGCAGCAAGTTTAGATGCTAGCAGAATCAACATATCTATTCTAGTAAAATTAAAGGATACAGTGATTCTATTTTTGGTCCCTTGAATGACAGGCTGGAACCGCAATCCCCTCTCTATACTGCAAAAATTATAAGTATGCAATGGATTTTATTTTAGAAGGGCAAGATGATCTCAACCTCAAATTGTCCCATTCGAAAGGCAAGCACATAGAAAGCAAAACTGTTTACTTACCAGATGCAAGATATTTCAGACAGACTTCTTCTTCTTTGGTGATCACTCGTAGCCAAGTAAGATTGTCTTCCATGAACACAGTTTAACAGTGAGTCCATAAGTGACTGTGGAGGCCAATTCTGGATCTACACGTCCTTCCATAGTGGGGACATAGGTTTCTGGGTGGGAATTGATCACGGTGAGGGTTTGCCAAGAGTGCCTTCCTCTTAGCACATTTCTCCGTGTCGTCCTGAGTTCAAGCGTCTTCAAAGCCCATGACACTTTTCAGATTCCTTTAGATTGAAGCATCGCATTCCCAAAAGTCTCTCTGCACTTTAGCAACCATTGGTTTGACAACCAGAACAGCTGCTCCGCTCTGGAGACCCTCCTCCAAGCCTCATAGCTAGCCTCATAGAAGATAGCATATGTCTCATTATGCCCTGCTATCCCAGCAAGGAGAGCATTGCCAATGCCTAGGCATCCGTCCACATGCCTCATTTTTTGTTCAGCAGTCAGCCAGGGGAAAATAAGTAAATTGGTGCCTTGGACTGGACTGTTTTGCTTTCTTGTTCTTTCTGGCTCATCTGCGTTTTCTTGCACTTGACAAGAACCTTGAGTTATCAGAACACTACAAAAACTATACAACACCTGTTTGAAGAATGAAAAGTGAGTGCATAAAACATAATGCCTTTATCATACCACCCTACAACTCCCTGGAAACATGTTATTGGTCTGTCTCCAGCCCAGATTAGAAAGAATCTGCCAGCATCACTTTTGTTAATGTGTTTGCTGAGAAGCAATGCTTTTAAAATGACAGCAGGTGGAGCTCTTGCAACAGCATTTCCTTGGAACAGTGTGTTCTGTCCAGCTAAGCAACTGCTTTTTAAACAAGTTAAAAATAAGTCAAATGAGTTAACAATACTAATAATACAAAAACAGATCCAATAAGGCCAATCCACAAAATATTTAAAGCAATGCACTTGAATTTAAATCATATAGTTGCTTTGGATTAATAACATAGTAATTAAAAGATAGAAATGTGCATTCATAGTTTGTGGTTGGGTGAAGAGTTTGTTGAGCCCCACATTGTTCATGGGTCCTGGGCTCAGTGGAATTCCTTCAGCACCCAGCAAGACAAAATTACCTGCATAGTTTTCAGTGGAGGTTGACCAGATTTAGCGTCTTCCTCTTCTTGCACAATTCCAGTGGATGCGATTATCCTTAATTGACCGAGAAGAATGTAAAAATGGATCCCAAGTGAACCACATCGTTATATTACCAGAGGCTGAGAAATATGGCATGGCTGCCTCCCTTAAGCCTTGCCAGTGAGCGTCTAAGATGCACCTGGGTGTCAATGTGGCATAGCAGTTAGAGCGTCAGAACAGGAAACCTAGGCTCAAATCCCCGTTTGACCATCGAGTGACCATCTCTCAGCCTAACCTTCAAAATGGGGCAGTTGTGAGATTTAAACGGGTGTGGAGAGACAGAACGATGTATGCCACCTTATGTTCCCTGGAAGATGGGTGGGATTAGTAAGGGGGAAAGAATAATTAAACAATGTGGCTCACAGATGCTGTATCCGGACTCTCAGAGTAGACAAAACTGGGCTAAATGGACAGTTTGACCTGATATAAAATAGCTTAGCAATGGTGCCATCTCACAAAATTTTGAAAGGAGGTCCATCAGTGCACTTCCTTTTTGATTTAAGAAGGGCATACTAAGCTACCCTGTCGTGGGCTAT